GATGCTTTTGCTGGAATCGCAAGATATTCTGCAGCAAAAGATCAAACAGGACTATTCAGTAACCCTTCATTGTGGCTGCCCCTGTCCCCAGGCAACTTTTCTGTTTCTGACTGCGTCAAAACTCTGCGCGACGCGGGGAAGCAGCTAGGGAAGGATTATCATGAGATGAAATGAAAACCAAACTGTTTAAAGCTTTCACATAGATTCCTATTGAAACAAATTGCCACATTGACCCACACAAACACCGATCATCCCAAGCAGATCTGATATCCTGTATGTCGATCAACTTATGAGCAGGTCTCTGCCCTCATACGTTATTATAATCGGGTCTATACCCTTAGATGTTTCATCAGAATCTAAGCGCGACTCTTTGTAAAAACTGAACCGGCTAGGTCTTTGAAAGTATTGTCTCGATATGAAGAATTGCGGTGACTCTAGGTAGCCTAGAACAAGTATCTATTCAAAGCCTGTGTATGTTCAGTGGCATACGTTTGTCGACAACCGAGGCCACAGTCAGTCTTGATGAAAAAGACTCAAACCCCTGATCTTTTGATTTCATCTAACTATCTATTGCTGATGATGTTCAACTGTTGCTAAATATAGCTGCCTTTGTAATATGGCTTAGATTAGCCTGATCAGCGCAGGGGTAGGACCTTTGTTGGTTCCGCCAAGATGAAAATGTTGAGTCAGAAAGTTGCCCATATCAGCATCACCTTTTTTGCCCATCAAACTAATCCCCAGAATTCTCTCACTCATGAATACACACAAATTAGCTATGGAGCCAAATGAAGCGGGCAGTTCATACTTGATGCACCTCGATCTAATCTCTAAAACCATCGAGGCCTGGTTACACTATATACCAATGACCGCCGGGCTGGCTGAATGCCTAGAAGCTGTCACGGCGCTTGCTGATAATGAAATGGAATGTATGTCACCCCCGGTGTTACTTGAGTTCTTCCAACTGACGCTCGTTTTCTGTGATTGTCATCTGGTTGTTGCGTCAATGATCTGCTTCATCAGCATTCAAAAAACTTACATCAAAATCAATCCACCTAGAACGTGTTTCCAAACAGGATGACTTGAAAACCAACACAGCCAAGCACAAAAGTAATATACTTCATACCCCATCAATGAGTTCATTTAAATCTCTAGCGACACTGGATATCTATATGACTCCACTGGACAAGGTGGACGATGCACTCAGTGTGTCTGGAGCACTGCGCCATCTGGTCAACACTCAACAAGATACGTCTCCGACACTGAATATGCCCCAGACCAACAAAAGAGCTCGCACACCGGACAAGAACATAAGGATCAATCGGTCTCCCCGCCGTTCTGCAAGGCTCTCTTGCTCCGCAAAGAAGGTTACTACTCAAAGGTTGGATCCATTTGCCTCTGATGGACCATCAACCTCGGGATGTGTCAAAAGGCAAAAGACGCAAAGTTCTGATAGCCAAGAGGTTCATCATCCTACACACCGCTTGCCAACCGCCTCACCATCTCCGAGTCAAAGCGCGAGAATTGTACCTCCCACACCGGAGGTTCATAGCTCAAACGTCCGATCTCAAGAAATCGAAAATACATTGAATCTATTGAGAACCCGCAGTTCTCCACCATGTCCTTCTGTTGCTGATAAGTCCAACTCGCTTTGGAACCAAAAGATCGATCTACATCTCAGCGAATCTGTCAAAAAACGAACCATTCTTGTCACCGAAGTTTCCGCGATACACAAGGCCTCACTTGTATTATTCAACACTTTGACAAAAGGCTCTTGCACTCAATTCGACCCAGATGAGTTGCTTTCTCATCCTGTGACCTTCAGCAGCACAGGAGAGCCACGCATCCGTGAGTGGTGCCGCAGGGCAGAAAGTGAGGCATCTCTGCATTGATCATCATGTTTTTTTCGTTGCTGATCATTTAAAACGTTCTTCTAGATGAAAAATTATTCACGACCAACAAGGGAACAATATGGTATCAGCCACAGATCTTCAATTTTCTCACAATCTCAACTTCTTCGCCGCCAGTTGGAATTTTGATTCATGAGCGTTACCTGTGGGAGACAATCAAATTTTTTCACAAACCAAGTCCACATTTTCTCGAACGGAGTATGCACTACGTCCTGGCAGCGCTTGTTCTGATAGGAACTGATGCAAACAGGATTCTCCCAGCCACTCAAATCCCTCACCAAGCAGCTATGTCTTCTGGGACCCGTAATGCTGTCACATGCTGGCACCACTTCAAAGAACTTTCCTCACTCCAATCAAATAAAATTGTAGATGAAAAATCGGCAACCCCCGGTGGCTGTATCGAGGATCTGGACCGGTTAATAATGTTGATCTACACAATGATTGAAACATTTACAAGCATATGGGCCTCAACAACCCTCGATGAAGAAATCTCAAGACTGACAAACCTCATAGCCAGTGCTGAATCACCCAAGTCCGCGGAGGCCCTCACGACACTGAAAGATGAGCTAACTGCAACTCGTAGTCAAATCGTCATATCACCCAACAATCTCCCAGCGCTTGCGAGCTTTCTCTGTTGCGGCGTCAAAGGCTTGATGATTTTCCCCAAAGACAAACACACCTTTGGGCCTCTCCGTGCAATTAACTTCTTGCTTGTCACAGCTGATCTCACAAAGCAGGGCCAAACGGTAGAAGAACCGATCTGGAAAAGAACACAAGCATACATAGTGGACTTTATGAAAGGCGTGATTCAATCAAGCAGAGAATGGGTTCCATGCGAAGTCAATCGGTATCATCTGGCAAAGGCGCTGTTCCTTGATTTTTCAGATTTTTTTCTGGCGCGTGATATAAGAAAAATTCCGATACCAACAACAAGGAACTATAAGGTCTTGGACAAGGAATGTTCCTAAAGGTTGTGGGTTTGCAGTCATAAAGCAATGTGTAGAGTAGTTTTGCATGTAATATTCACCTTGAGATCATTTTGAGATGCTGGAACACAACAACTCTCATTCTTTGCTCGTGATTATGCTATCTTCTTCTTGGTTGTTTCTAATCCTGACTACTGTGTTTTTCTCAAAACTCTATCTTCTCCTGCATCATTTTGAATCTTCATCACTGTGTGCTTGTTGTTGGGCTATCTTACTCTTTGTTATTTTATGATAATCCTTACTGTACGCATGTATCGTTTTGTAGTTGGCAAACAAAAGTTTCAACATGCATCACAATCAGCAAACAATTTTCTATGCATGTAGTGAGAATTTGCAAAAAGATAGGAAAGGAATGTTGGAGAATTCCATTCTCTTGTAATGTTGTCAAAACCATCAAGGATGAAAGGACTCAATGGAGCTCAATGGTTAAAGACAAATCAACTCAAATTTGATTAAATATAGATTGTGGATTAGTAACAAGGATGATGTGAGAAGGAGATGTCTGGATTGGGATTAAATCAAGTAGGTATTGTTTAGAATGTTAGAAGACTGTGTCTGTACTGGGATTAATTAGATAATGGTTGTGTTTTGTGTTGTGTTCATGAAAAATTGTCTCCTGTGTTGTTTCTCTCATGAACCCTCCACTGTCTCAAACTTAACTAAGTCCCTACGCGGACCTAACCACCATCTCCCGCGCACTGTCTCCTTTCACATCCTTTCCCCATCGAGGAAATTGATTTGAAAGGTAAGATTAAAAAAATCAATTGTCTTTTCTCTTATATTTAATGTGTTGATGTTACTAAAGTCTTTTATGATCACCTATACTTCGTTCATTGATATCTTTTTCTCTTTTCTTTACTTGTAGTTTTCCTATTCTTCTATCATCCTTGCTCCACCTCTAGGTTCGTCTACCTCGAGTGTAGAACTCGGTATTTCTGTTGTCAGCTGTTGCCTCATCAGCACAAGGCTGAGAGTATTCTTTCACCTTTATGAAGGTTCGTCTACCGGTTCACTGCGTCGAGCGTGCAAACCTCATTTTCTTACAACGAACCTTGACGATTTCTCGACTACCTGCCCAATACAACAACCCACTGTATATTGAGATGTTTGAAGACTTCTTAAGGAAAGAGAAAGAAAAACTGAATATAATCTTGAATTTGAAAAGATGCAAGGCCGGAGTGCTTACTTCTCAGTACTATGATTTTCCATCAGTAAAATTGGTCCTCAGTATCTTCTGTGTGCCTATTCCTTTTGAGGCAACCTTTTAGCTTACCACATTAAACTTTATCAATATGTCAACAGGTTGAACAACATCAATGATCAGACAAGGTTTAGATATGCAAACAAGAAGTAAGACTATTCAGAAATGCTGGAGTATGTTGACCAGCACTGATAGTGATTTAAATTTATAATCTTGAGAAGTAAATTAATCCCCAAATTACGAGACTTTCTTTTGCAAGATAATGATGACAAGGAAATCAATGAGCATCACAACACTAGTTTTTGCTATTGACCACCCTTTTCCCTGTTGGGCTATTTCCAAGTTTTGTCTGAAAGATTTACATAGTCCAATGAAAAAACTCTCATGTCTTCAAAACACTCATTGAATCTTCTCTTATGTTTTTCCATATTTGCTTCAGATATGCACATATTTGTTTGTAATTATCTATGAACTTTGGCGATTTTTTTGGGGCAGCATGAAATATCACTAGTAGGGTCTGTTTAGCCCGTTAGAATGTATGCATATCTAGCTTTGGGCTGACTTCCACCTTGATCAAGTTTACCAAAAGCTCATCTACATTTTCATCACCAAATCTTTTGAACAAAATTCACTTGAAGGAAAGTTGCAAAAAGTAGCCAGAGCGGAACTATAGTTACACTATATCACTGAGCAATCATTGCAAAAAGAAAAAAGACACCACAGCACAGCCAACAGATAGCCATGTAACAGGAACGAAAGCCTTGCAAGTTGATGGAATAGGCTAACAAACGTCAAGGGAAGTTATTTGGATTTTCAGCCCGATGAAAATGCGCGATGCGGAAGGAATTTATATGCCACGTACAAAATTTATTCTCCAGGGTTGAGTATTGTATTTCGAGCGCTTGGAGAGTTTCGTGAATAATCAGATACTTTTCCTGCATGAGAGCAAGGTTTTCACGCCCCATCCGTTGAAAATACCAAACATCATCAAGAAGGTTTTCTGCCATGTCAGAGATTTGTGAAGTCCTCTTTTCCAAGAGGTCTAGGTGTTGTCTTGTTTGTTGGACATCAAGAAGAATATCACTGAGCCCCTGTGATGCTGCTCTCCAATTTTCTGACAGATGATGAAAGGAAAGCATTCAATATTGAAATACATCAGGGACATAGATGACAAATCCGCGGTATCGCTTACTTGCATTGTCACAAGCCTCCATCTCCACCCGGGTCCGTATATGGGATAATTCCGCTTGTGAATGTTTCACTAGACCGTGAAAAATTGATGTCTGTTGCTTAATTGAATCAAGCACAAATTCTGGGGGAAAACTATTCAGTGACACATAGGTGAACAGGCAAGAAATATTCTAACCTTTGAGTGCTCCACTTGTCTCTAGAGAGATCCCTGATAGACTTCGATCAACAGAAGCTGCGGTTGCTGTGGGCTTCACAGTGACCACTGCAGAGGAATTGGGCTCCATTCTCTCTTAAGTTTTAGCAATCTAACGTCTACGGTCTCCTTTGAACAAAATCGAATTGAAAGATAAGGTAGAATACTTTGTGCTGAAGATTGTGATAGAAACACTGGAGACTGTCAGAAGGCGGTATATATATACCAAATATGCGCTAAGGCTTGGGTTGATGAAGATGGTTCAGCGCTACCTTGACTTTTGAACGGAAGATGAGCCGTATGTCAGGGGCTTATTGCTTTATTGAAGGCCAATTCTCTTGAGGGACTTCTAGTCATTTAGAACACCTTTGTGTGCGCCCCCATTATCCCTTGGAATTATTTCCTGCTGAGCTTTGCAAAGACTTGAAGACTGGGCATCTCGAGTTAAGCCAATAATGTGGGAACAACCTCTCGGTGATTCTCAAACTACCTGTTCATAAAAATGAGTCAGGTGAGAGAAGGTATGTAATGAGAATGTTTGGGAATATTTCTGCCACAGTCCCTTTGTTATTTCAACTGTGTATCTGAACACATATGTAAAGTAGTAATTCGAATCCTGAAACTGCTCTTGCGGCTCAGGATTTGGTTCAACCGATGCTTACCCAACTGATGATGCACATTACCAAAGGAACTCTTGGCTCTCATACTTTAACAGGTGAGAACTGCTTTCATAGCGGCTCAGATATTTACTGATACATATCATTCCTCCCTCACTTATCCCTCAGCAAGCGACCCAATAGTCATGAAGAACCGTAAGCTCCCATCCAAGGCTAGCAAACAAAACACCAACGGTCGGTTCCCAAATTTGTAATCAACAGAGTTTGTTACAGTAATGCTAACGAGACTTTCTCCCCTTGTGGTGTTTCATTTTACACCTGTACTCATCGGCGGTCAACAGGAGACTCTACAACAGTGCTAGTCCAGCGCAAAATCGATCCCTTGGAGACATCCAAACACAAATGTGAGGCACATTACATTAAACTTGATGCGCAGGACAGGAGCACTTACTTTGCACCAGTAGGGAAATTTGTCTTTCTAAAGTTTCTTCGTATTGCCATAGCTTGTCTTTTGTTGGCAATGCTAGTGGAAATTTGGATCAATGACAAACTGCCAAGCCTTCACGAATTGTGGCCTTTCACCATCTTTCTCCACAATTCAGGCTTGACAACGGCCTGGAACGATTCCTGTGCCGGGTTAAACACGCAGTTTGAGACCTGGTTTGAAATAATCGCCCCCGACAACCTGTGCAAGGAGGTGGTTCAATCGGTGTTGGTGATATTATATATAGCGGCTTACTTTTTGTAAACACTGGAAACAAACAGAATTCAGAATAATTATATCCATTACAGAGTGTATTTTCCAACGCGTTCAAATTTGGTTTGGAAAAACAGAAGGGCGTGAATCACAAATAGAAAGACGTAGACATCCAACTGACGCATATAAATGCCCTGATAGCAGAGTTATGGGTCCCGACTCACACGAGTGGTGGCTTAGTAATTGGCAAATCTTACCGTAGTTTAGGTAAGGTGATACAAATGTGATGGAACTTCTAAGAAGACGGAAGCTAAGACAAAGGATTTAGTGAGGATCACGACCCACATGTGCATGTCCCCAAGTGAAGGCCAAGCTGCGCTGATTTGCTAATAATCTCTGACTTCGATTATTGAAGATTGATCTCCGCTCCGCAGAAGACCACAAGATGTCGAATGACACGCAGTGTCTTCGACTCAACAGGCCAAAGCCGCCCGCATACCACCGATTTCCTCCCCCAAGCTCTAGCTCATCAGAAGATATCTCCTCAACCTCAGAAGACTACGAGAGACTTGCCAACCAGGTCACGATACTTTCCACCAGCTTGTCACAGATGGAGAAGTTTTCAAGAATAGAGATTGAAGATGTTTTGTTGAAGATAGATAACCTGAAGCAGGATGTTGCTATCCACGGAGACAATTTTACACGACAAAATACAACCTTGATTGATGAAATTGGCGATTTGAAAGCACAGTTCCAAAACTTTCAAGATGGCTTGGAATGTCGTTCAAGATTGAAAAAAAGGATTGGATTGTTGGAGTCCAACATGAAAGAAGTGCGAAAGGAACTGGAAGACCATTTTGAAGGATGTTCTCTTACTGACTTACGGGTGAAAGAGAGCATGAAAACGATCAGGGGTGAGTCAGAAATTTCTATTGCACCATTTTGCAGCTATCTGAGATCAAGTTTTTGTTGCATCCTCAGAGCGCTGTAGATGTGCCGATCAAGAGCCCAGAGACTCACGATTCCAAATTGTTACCACAGATGGTGATGACGTCCGCAACATATTGATAGACATGGCTACCTTTCACAAACACGTCAGGTGTTGGTTGAAGAACGTCAAAGGTTGATGGTTTTCTTTTTTGCATTCATGCATGCAGCTGACAAGATGTTATCCACAGAATGGGATGAGACACTACTGCAACTGGCACTCTTACATGAAAGGAACTGGCTGGATTGCAGACTTGACTTGGCGGAGCTTTTACAAGATGCTAGAGGTAATTACCCATCACGGATATTTGCACAACCCTAAAAGTCCCCCAAGCTGATAACAACTTGCTTCAACTGTCTTGCTAAGAGGATCGTACCCGAGCTTCAGCTGAGCGTGAAGCAACTCAAGAGGCATTGGGGCTCATGAATTCGACATTGTCAACATGTCTCGATACACCATGCACTCACCGATTACCCAGTGAGATCAAGGAAATGTCTCTGAATCAACAAATCAACATCAGTTCCCTCGAAACCCCATATCGAGTGTTTCTTTGGCTGGCTGGAATTTTACTTATAGTGGTCAACAGTTATTTATTTTTCCAAATTAATGCATTGTCAACCATCGTTGATGCCCCCACTCAAAGGAGTCAATATATGTAATGCAAATCTCAGATGCTTCAGGAATTCAAGGTCACTTATTCCTGCCATTAGATGCTCACTCTTCCTCACTATTAACTGGGTGTGCTATGTGAATTACTGTGATACAGACTGAACAAATGAAGGTACTCACTATATAAATGTACATAGTTTCTCTACAGCTACGTTTTCGAGAGTTTGCTTCAATTCATCTCTCCGCACAAGTAGCTAAAAGTGCCATTTTGACTCTATGTTTCATAACGTACAATGTAGCGGTACATAGCTACTTTGAACCAAAACTCTTCCCCATCTACATAAGTGGCTCTCGAACCAGACTTTTGAAACCGGGTCTGGTTTGAGAGCCACTATAGCCCCTTATTTTTATATGACCAGACAAGATGTCACAACCAAATTGTGACCTCACATATGTCTGGGGGCGGTTGTCGACAAACGAAAGACCTATGTAGAGGTGTCCTGTCAAGGTGTGCAGTTGCTTTCAAGATGGCTAGGGCTGAATTAATTTGTGGTGATAGCCACTGTACTGACGTGAAGCGGCAAGATGTCACATGCAGATTGTGATATGTCTGGGAGCGGTTGTCAACAACCGAAGGCCCTCCTAGAGGTCTCATGTCAAGGAGTGGAGCCCAATTATGAAGAATGGCGATATGTTTCAATTGTTTTGTACAATATCGCCCGACTTTAAAGAATCACTTTTCATCATTCAGTCCTTCATGTAGATGTTTTAGAATAATATCTTCAATTCTTGTCATCAATTTGCACTAGTTCTTTTTATCGGCTGACTGTTCCAAGTTACCCAATTGCGCATTACTTGATTGATCTAGGTAAGAAAATCTCCAGGCTTACAGTAAGTCAGGTTCTTGGACTTTCTCCATCGGATTAAGCTAATGGGGCCTACGTGGCCAGTGCCCTTTGGAAAGGGGGCCTTCAACCATTTTTTCAACCATTTTTGAATGCAGTCACACATCTCGAGATTTCTTCTGCCGGTTTCTATTCTGCGGGTATAGAGGACAGGTGAAAGGTGAATAATCGCAAAGGTGGGGATAAGTTTATGAAGATCACCTTTAATTCAGCCTATACATCAGAGGGCTCACCCTTTCTGATGCGATTAATATCTGTGGTGGTTTTTAGAAAGTCCCCTCGGCCACCTGTATGCATCATTACCTTTCTAGTATCAGTGGGGTTGTCTCAAGTGATACTCCTTCTTGTGAGTTCTCCTCTCAACGCGGACCGGAGTAACAAAGGCACAAAAATATCATCATTTCACGTGTTTCCTACGGAATGCGACATGTGCCAAAGTGACAACTTGAAATTTCAATTTTTGAAATTTCAGAATCCCCGGGTCAGAAACTGACAAAACTGGATTAAACATCGGATTTAACTCAAATACTGGTCTGAAACCCCCTGTATTTGGGATGAAACCGTACTTTTTGCCAGTTTTTACTGGTTTCCAAACCACTACCCTGAACTTGACTGCTGAGTTGGCACTTTGGCACAAATAATACGCAAAAATTTCAAAAAATCGAATTTCAACATTACAAATTTGACAGTAAACAAAAAATGTCCACACAGAAAGAAAACAAGTGTAAAACTCAGTTTGGAATTGGCAAGAGCATCATGATGTAGTTGTGAGTACTGATGCATATTGTTTCCTTGATACTATATCTTCTTCTTATTTTATTTCCGCTGCAGCCTTCATAGTAGCTAAAACGCTTGCAGCTGGGGTATCATTGGTGTACCTCAAATTGGGTATCAAACCTCTGACACCACCAATTATAAGAGATCCTAAACATCCCCAAGAAAATCTGGAGTTTTCTACCAGTTTGATCTGCACATTCAGAGCGGAATGAAGATCCTTCTCTTCCTTCCGGTTCGACACTTCTACGGCTCCAGTTGATCGACTGAAGCTGCAGACCACCTAGCTACAGACCACCTAAGGCTAGGTGGTCCGTCTATCACACTTGGACCACCTAGTGTTAGGCGGTCTGAAGCTCCAGTCGATCGACTGGAGCTCCAGATCACTTAAGGCTACGTGGTCCTTCTATTAAAGTTGGACCACCTAGTTTGAGGTGGTCTACAGCTCCAGTCGATTCGCTGGAGCGTGAGCGAGTGGTACTGATATAAATGTACCACTGGTACCGTGGTCTGGAGCTCCAGTCGATCAACTGGAGCTTGAGCCCACTTAAGGCTAGGTGGTCCTTCTGTGAAAGTGGGACCACCTAGTGTTAAGTTCTTGATTGAATTGAGATTGAGCCAGCGGTATTTATACTGTGAAAGAGAGACCACCTAGGCTGAGGTGCCCTATTTCTCTAGTCCAATGACTGAACCAGTGGGTAAGACATGGCTAGGTGGACTATGAATTGTGGAAACAGTAGGTTTTGGCTGCTACAGTTGTCTGATGGTACCGGATAGGTTTTGAGTTTTGTCCCTGTTCAAGTTTGTGAAATTTGTAATGTTGAAATATGATGTTTTGAAATTTTCGTGTATTATTTGTGCCAAAGTGCCAAATCCGCGGTCAAACTCAGGGTTGTGGTTTGGGAACTGGTGAAAACTGGCAGGAAGTATGGTTTTATTCCAAATACAAGGGGTTTCAGACCAGTATTTGAGTTAAATCTGATGTTTCATCCAGTTTTGTCAGTTTCTGACCCGGGAATTCTGAAATTTCAATTTTTGAAATTTCAAGTTGTCACTTTGGCACATGTCGCATTCCGTAGTTTCCTCAACCGACCTTCTGGTTGACTAGAACCCTCCTCCGCCGTTCCCAAAATCAGGAGTCATATCCAATAATGCGCACACGTTCAAGTAAATCTACCCCCTCCGCCAGCGCCAGCCAAAATCCTCCAATGTCTCCGCCTTATTTAAAGGCAGAGCCTCCATCGTCAGACGACGGCATTTCTGAATCTCGCAAACGGCCATCCACAAGCTTTCAATCTCAGGAGGACCGAGATCAACGCAGAAGCAGTCGACCCCGCTTATCTTCACCCTCTTCGAAGTTTCAATCGCAACTGGAGCGCCTTCAATCTAAGGTTGAGAATCTTACTGAAAACGTTCGGGAGTGCAGTCAGCAAGCAGAAGAGGTTAGTCTACGATACATGAACATATGAATAGTGATTAATAATTCGGACTTCCCTTTCCAGTTTGAAGCCGCTAGAATTGTTATCGAAGGCAAATTGACGGAGGATCGGGTCAAATCAACTAAATTCTCTGACCAAAAGGTTCAGCGCGAGGTTCGTAAGGAGGTAATCCCACAGATCAACGCTCTCGCTGATCAAGTAAGTTTACAGTCCCATTTGTGTTCTGGCAAGTGAATTCACCACTGACAACGCATGTGGTCACATATTCCAGGTCACAGTTATCAAGCGTGATTTGGACAGGGAGATTGCTTTGTCTAGTCGGGTACAGGAGGTGAAGTGTTTGTCATTGATGCGATTTGTGAATTTCAACACTGATATTGACTTTCTGTTGATTTTGCGCTCCAGCTCGAGGAACAGGTCCATAGAATTGAAAGTGAGATGTCACGAGAACATGTACATCCAGAGTTGTCCACCAAGCAAATGGCAGAACTACACCAGGTGAGTAGCTTGTGTCGACTGAAAAAGGTTGTGACATGGCTGATGTTTGGGTTTTCATAGTACATCAAAGAGGAGGTGATGAGGTCGAAAAAGGATAAAACTTCACCCCCTGAGCACTCTGCCCAGCTCCTTAAGGATGTCCTTATGGAGGTGCTCCCACACATCAACGGTCTCGCCGATCAAGTTAGTGTACAGTCCCAAATGTATTGCCAAGTTAATTCACCACTTAAAACGCATGTGTTCACAAATTCCAGGTCACAAGCATCAAGCGTGATTTGGACAAGGGGATTGTTATGTCCAGTCGGGTACAGGAGGTGAAGGATTCAAAATCGATATGTGTGAATTTCCACACTGATATTGTGATCCTGTTTGTTTTGCGCTCCAGCTGGAGGAACAGGTCCATAAACTCGACAATGAGCTGTCACGAGAACATGCACATCCAGAGTTCTCCACAAAGCAAATGGCAGAGCTACACCAGGTGAGCAGCTTGTGTTGACTGACATGATTGTGTGAGGTGGCTAATATTTGGGTTTTCTTAGTATATCAAAGAGGAGGTGATGAGGTCAAAGGAGGGTAAAACTTCGCCCCTTGAGGACTCCAGCGCGCGAGCGTCTGAGAAAGGCTACGTACTAGATGAGGGTAAGGCTGCCGAAATCAGAGGCGCACTTCGAAATCTTCAAGTTACCCTTGAGAAGATGCTCGAGCATATGTTTCTCTCAAAGGAAGGGCCACAAGGCGTCGATCAATGAGCCCTTCTTTTCAAAAAATCCAACAACAAATGAGCCCACATTTTCCATAATACGTCTTCATGTGTCTCAGTCTCATACTTGAAAATTTGATCATGTAACCTTTCTCCGTCCTCCCTGACTCAGGCTGATTATATACAAAGGTCCTGCCGGCTCATATTAGCTTGACATAGCGCAGAGTCGGCCCATTCTCTCTGACCAATACCCCATGCAGAGGCTCAGGCGACTAATTTATTGTATTCCCACCTGCGAATAAACAGTGCGAGGTGATGCTTATGTTTCATATTACGGAGCGACTATCTCATACAATTGCATTTTGACAAATAATCATACTTGGATCGCTTTGCCTCATGAGATAATGTTTGATATGCTTCCAACAGCTAGCAAGTTCTAATCAGTGGTCAGGAAAGAAACACGTATGAGACGAGCCTGACCAGCTCTTACCTGTTGCATTACACCCGTGTCACCGCCCTTGTCTGGATGGAAGAAACGGGTCAACCTCAAATACGCCTTTTGGATATCTTGTGTGGTTGCAGCATGGTGAAGACCAAGTCGCTACATTCAAAGGCAAATTGGGTTCAAATTCTGGTACGGTGTTGAGGCAGTAAAGTGACCTTACCTGGTACAGTGGTGCACAGCTGGTGGTTGGTTCAGGTACACCAGAGTAGTGCGGACGTGAGCTTTGAAGGTGAGCGTGAAGTTTTGAAAGCCAAAGAAAATGTTTATGGCGATGGTCAATTGAAAGAGTTCTTCCGGAGACCCAGACTTCCTCCAAAAGCTTTGCAGCCTCTTCCAGTTGCTTGATGGCTATGTAGGTTTCAGAGAGAGCCAGTTGTATTCGTACCACTACCTCCTTCAATTTTTCTCCAAGGACTTCGCCAGATTCTTTCAAGTATTGTAGACCATGCCTGTAAATCCCACCAGCTTTTTCTGGAAATCCTGTTTTGAAGTATTGATAGCCATACATGTAAAATAGCTCAAGTTCTTTAACAAGCTGTTCTTCTTCTTGATTGTAGGTTTCTTCACCCTAAGCTCGAAGTTTGTAAGACAACAGGTCAAGTCTTTGAACATCAGACCAAGAATGCACTAACATTTTTTTCAATGGCTCCTTTGAGTTGCTTTTGCAACCTAGAATACAACCGCGCAGTTTCCAAACAGAGTGGATGAGTGGCTCCTATGGTATATTTGCCTTCTGGGTGCCAGAGCTGGAATAAGACCGATTCAGCTTCCTTTGGAGATTGTAGACGCAAGTAGCACTCAGTGAGGTTCAAACAGATTTGCACTACAACAGAATCCTGGAAGCCGTTTTTTGCTGACGAATCTACTTCACAATAACTCAAGATCTCTTGATATATTCTAGCAGCCAGGGTGTATTCCCTCATATCGAAAGCCTGTGATGCTTCTTCACATTGGCTTGACTGAGGGCTACGTCCTGATTCCAGGTTTCGAATCCTCAATTGCTGATGCAGTCCAGGGTTTGGGCATTCAATCAGCAAGCGTAGAAAAATTCGAATCAGTAAAACTCGCAATGACTTACGATATGGTACTGTCGGCTGGCTTTGTCTGAATTAAAACAGCGTTCCTTAGAGACCTCTGCAGTTTGACCATAAACTTCTGAATCGTCCTCGTAGACGAGTTTTCGACGGGTAGGCCTTTGAGCTTGAGTTTCGGGCATGGTATTATCGGAAAACACAGACACTTTCATGGCCACAATAGTTCAATCTTAATGACAATCACTCTTTTCAAAGATGTTATAGCTAACGGGAAGAAGTTACCAGCGCCTGTGTGAGCCATCTTGAGACTTGAGTAGTTAAGTATGCCGCTGACTGAACACATACTTGCTGTGCATAACCGGCCACTCTAGGGATGAACATTAAGTCCTTCTGAGTTCCGATTACCTGTCCCTCTTCCAGACTCAGCTGCAAGTCTAGTTGAGTGCAGTGTAAGGCACCTGAGGAAAGGCACTCTGAGCTGATAATCTGAGCAATGCTGAGGAATTCCGAAGCTGCAAGCTTACTGTTGGCCAGATTTTTGATATTAGGTACGTTAATCATTTTCTGCTTGGCTGAACAAAGGTAAGTTTTCCCCTGAGCATGCGTTTAAAAAAGGTATAAAATCTGGACTTCAGCCCAATCATTCAAGACCTGCATATCTAGTCTTCTCCTAGCAAAGTTAGAAAGTACTAATACCGCACATCAAGACCATGTCTCCGCTGAAAGAAGAATTTCCAAATTTTGGTCCTGAATTCGGAAATTTTGGTGAGCACCAATCGCCTTTCGCATCAAGATCTCCGGGCGAATCAAGCTTAGCACCGGCATCTCGAGACGGCGCACTCAAAATTATCCTTCCAGAGTCTCGAATTCAACCCAAACTCATGGATTCTGGCGGTCATTCTATTCAGGTATCCTCACCAAGCAATTCTCCCAAGCCATGGTACAAATGGCTCCTTTGGTCAGCCCCTGTGTTTATATTATTGGCTTGGTCGAGGATACAACTCAACAGGTGAGATGGCTTCCTTGGCTCACCATTGTAATCATCATAGTAATATTGAGCTCTGACTTTTGATGACACGGTCAGTACACCAAGGGATAACATTACAACAACTCAGACAGTATCTGATGTAACATCTCAGCTGAAAGCGGTTGTATCCAAGGGCAGGGTTGGTGGACATGCTGCAGATCTTTCCATCAAAATTCTCGACTCCATAGAGGACCTTCAAGAACATGCTGCATATCCATCAATTGACTCATCCCGGGCACACGAGGTCTCTGACGTCTTGGAGAGTCAAATAAATGTCCCAAATTCAACTGTGACTGCCGAGCATCTACGACAACTTATCGCATCGGTAGATTGTGTGTACGACTCTTTGCGCCGGCTGAATGGAAGAGGCCTCACTGAATTACGCGTACTGATGGAAGAGGTCAGCAATTCTAACTTTATAGCCGTGTAGTCAATCACTGATGCTTTAAACCTAGTTTTCTTGGTTCAAAAACTTTCACGCAGTGGAGAACACTGATAAATTCATACGGAGCATGTTTGATCACCAATATAAAACCTTTACCCTCCTCGCCAACCTTGCCGAGGGAACCGGTGGATTGATTCAAAAGACGCACTCAGAAAACGAAAAGCTGCAGCACGATCTGTTCTCCATTGACTGTTGGTTGAGGAATCAACTTAATCGCCCTTTTTACCTCCAAATTTTCAATGAACGAGACTACCACGGGTTACAACCTTTGTTGGACACAGTGATTCTCATGGTTGAATACACAAGAGATGTCAGAAAATATTTAGAAAAAAGTAGGCTTCTGCTGCAATTGTACCGCGATAATTCGAAGTCTTGGCTTGTGAGTGAAAGTTCGTCAAAATTGAAGATTGAAAGTTCTATCTATTCTGATGACTACATTTCACAGGATACAATCTCCACTCGCTGGGCAATCTCCAATAAACCAAATAATGGCACGATTATTCAGTGTGTTCTTGCTCTGCATGCACTACACACCGAGCTACTTCATCGTCATGTCATACGCAGTATGGTGATGGGCAAGACCATCCACGATATCTCTATTGCTGAGGTGTCTCTTTCCCCTGCATAGGGTTCCGGGTTCTGATGGGATGTCAGGCTTTTATGTAGCAGGGAAGTGTCTTACAAATGACACCGCAATGCATGCCAATAAGAAATCCGATGTGCCCTGGCAAAGTGATAACAAGCGGTATCCCGCAAGGCCCGGACCTGTGCCCCGGAGACCCCCGAACGCCCGTCCTGTGATTCAGTCACGGTTGTCGACAACTGTGACTGTACAAACCGTGACTGTACAAGGAGGACTTTTTCATCAAAACTTGATTCAATGACAAGTTTTTAGTTTGTAATTTAAATCAGCTATCAGATATTGATCCTGCGTTACTCAGAAATTTAGTTCCCAATAATGATTATGCCTTTCATGTGACTCATACCCAACAATTCCCTCATAAAGGCAATGAACAAAAACCAATTGGAGGAAGGCATGTTCAGTACTTGCACAAGAGGCCGAAATGATATTTTACCGATAAGTAAAGTCTTATGGAGAATGATTTCCTTCTGAAATATATTTCACCAGCCAGTGAATCATGATAAACCTCCTGTCATGGATGTGAATTTCTCAAAGTGACAGATGAAGGTAAACATCTCGTAACTACGGTCATCTCCCAAATCCCCAAAAAGAGCATGCAGACTTATCTAGTTGGCAATAAATATGCAATAATATACTTGTTTGATTGGAAGGAGAAAGGGAAGAGATAAACTCATTAATATGGGGAATGTGTGAATATGTTTGAGAAGTATGCAGTGGAGAGATTGATTTAGGTGCAGGAGTACCTAGATCTCAGGCAAAGAAGACCACTCGCAATTTGGGTCCTTCCCAAACTTTTTATGTGTTAAGTTTACTTATCCTTTGACAGCTCCGGTGTGATTCATTTGAAATTCTTGAAGTTTGAAACACGATCATTTGATCCTTCGCAAGCGGGCGTGGAGTGGGTACAACGCTTCCAAATATCAAAAAGTAAGAGTGGGGCAATGAAACTGGGTGTAGATCATCTTTTGTACACCCTATGTAAAGTGGCTCCGTGGACTTAGCAATCCCTTTCAACATCAGTTTCGTGGTTAATTCCAGCGGCTTGATCTTGAGACTATCTAAAAGTAGGTAATTGGTCATCCAACCTTACTCGCGCCGGATTCCACTGTGCTATAAGTCAATCACACAACTTATTCTCAATCATCATATATTGTCTTAGTTAGTATCTCTCACTGCAAGTCTAAGTACCTTCATTTCTCACCTTCCCAGTCCACTCAACTGAAAAGTTTGTCAAGTAGGAGTGATGATCCCACCTTTACTTGCGGGGGTGAGACACGGCATTCTACCCGAGTTGAAAGACCTGGCAATTCATGATCGACTCCCGAATCCTAACGCTATCCCGGGAGGCGGCACGACTTCATATCGACGTGCTACGGAGTTCGATATCTATGTCAAAGGCCATATTGATCGTGGGTCTACCTACAACCTCGCAGAAGCTATCACTGTACATGTACATAAGCACGACTTCTTAAACCACCACGAGGTCGAGACGATTCTTGATGCTACCATCGTGTTAGACAAAGAGTCCAACGACGTCAACACTTGCCTCGGCGAAGCTCAACATCTGGTATATTACACCCGATTGATGTTGCGTTCACAAGACCCAGAAGTGATTCAACATCGTGAACTTTTCAAGCGTCAATATACAGTGTCACGCAAGCAGTACAAGCGGCTTCGGTCCAAGTTACGAGAGCATCGCAAAGATGTCATGGTTCTATGGGGAATAATGGCTCAGGAGATGTGAGTAGAAGTCTCAAACAAGGTTAACATATTGAGTCTTAACGAGATTATCCCGACTGACGGTTTACTTACCCCTTTGAAATGATGCCCACCTTTCCACGCACAGCAAACGGACCTGCGATATCGAGGATGCTGCTGCTGCTGCTAATGGAGCGGAACCTGACGTCGCCGCCCCGCCCTACACTCGTTCACCTTGAGAAACTTTATGGTTTCATCATCTAGATGTAAAATCCTTACTCAGTGCTGTGGTTCAGGCGAACAACGGGTATAAGCTTCTTGTTCCCCAGATCCACATGTCTATCATTTAAAAGCTACGGTTGGTAATCATTATGAAATCATTATGTGACATAGACTCTTTATCCCTGCGGATAATGCTGACACTAATTCTAAACCTGAATAGACATCTCGTGACATTGAACATGTACCAAGATTTGATAAAAGGTCCATTATATCTTTGATTCACTAAATCTATATTCAACTTTCACTTGTTTTCTGTTTTAGTGTAATGTGAGGAATGTGTAAATGTGTTTGAGATGTTGGAAATCATGCAGTGGACAGATTGATTCAGGTGTAGGAGTACATAGATGATAGATCTCACCCAAAGAAGACCACTAGCATTTTGAGTCCCAAGCCTGATCAACCCTGCTTGAAGATGACTGTTCCGCAGAACTAAAAGATGTTTAGTTGTTATTTTTGGTAATGATCAGAGGCCTATCGGGCTTGTTTACAAGGGATCATCTCGGTTCACACGAAATCGCACAAGAAAAAGGTAAGATGTGGTGTTACCAAGAAAAAATCATCATAAGAAATTAATCTTGAAAGTGCAGAGAAATGTTGGAGAAAGTATTTCTCCGGTGATATTTCAGAACCATCAAGGCTTGGATTGTCAAACTCGAGTAACAATCCAGGCTATCCTCTTTCAAACAGAGCTCCTCTGTCAGAAAGAGGAATCCTTCTCCTGTTGATAACAAAGTGGCCCCAGCGAAGAAACGCTCAGTATCAGCAAAGACACCCTCATCCAAAAACTCGACTCGACCTACAACAAAGAAAAAGGTAAGCAATTCTCAACCTTTGACAATGAATCAATCGAGTTATTGTTTAAATCTTTTATGACCTTTCCCATATGCTTTTCAAGAATGTGCATTTTAACAATACTCAACTCGCTGGCTCACAAGCAGGACATAACGGTCAATCAGCGACGCAAAATGGTCTTGTTGAGATCCCCTTTTCCCACACTCCCTTGGTTGAACCAAAAAAGCTCGCGCTAGCAGTAAGTTGATATGACCTTGTTCATACCTTTTCCTTCTCCTCGTATCGTATTGTTGGTCTTAACATTGTATCGGCTCAATACAGTCAGATGCTCAAGTGCATTATCAACACTCGCTGGCTTTTGACGAGGCTCTTGAAAGCAATCAGACCCGCAAAGATCAAAAACCACAACTTCCATCAAATATTTGAACAACTGGATCATTCGTGTCTTCTCTTTCTCTAGATTTATTACTGCAAAAAGTCACACCATTCAAAGTCAAAACCGACAAAGGGACCACCTCTTGCCTTCAGGATGACAGACCGGCACACATGAAGAGGATCTCATAGTCTTTACAGATAGGGATTGGTTGGAAGCTGATAACATTGGTTTGTAGATGTCCCTGATTCCAGGATCCCTCCCCCAAACCTGCTAACCATTTTGCTGAATCTTAGTGAACGGCGAAGAGATCGCTCCCACATTACCCAATCATTTGACATCAGTTTTTTCGTCAACTAAAAAGAAAAGGACTGGAGTTGAAGTCTTCCCAGACAAAAGACAAAGAATTGATCAAAGTAGGTACTAAAACAAATCACTCAACATCCAACTTGAATCAGCTGACAATGTAGTTTGAATCAGCTGACATAGTTGTATGTAGTTTCTGCAATTGAAGAGCGCATAAATGGTATTGAGGGCATAACAAATGACTGTAAGAGTATTCAAGATGGTATGACCCTCATGACTGGAGTGAGATGAGCTTGTTGGTGAAGGTATTCAGACAATTCGACTTATTTGAACCCCTTCAAATGACCCTTAGCCCGTGTTCAGGGTGAAACATCAGACCTTTTTCTAAGAGTAACGGTAACACTTAATATTACCGTTCGTCCAAATGACAGACATATGTAGCTGATCAGGCAAAATCTAATGAATACTTTATTCAAGATTCGACTTGGGAGAATAAAGAAAGGATTTGAAGAACTTTGAGAGGCATGTGTATAGAATACAAGAAGAAATCACTTCTCTAATTTGTCTCTCTTAGATTACTGAGTTGCGCGGGGTATAGATCACCTCATTGTTCACTAATCTATCATAGAGAGTGTGTGATAGTCGCCAATGAACAGTTTTAATTGATAATTTTTCATATCATTAAGGTAACAGTCAATGATCACGAGGATCAGATTACACAATTGGCTTCAACTCAATTCTTGTGTCCATTGGCTGTGTTGAAAGGGTCCGTCCCAGTCTTCATAACGCCAGCAGATTCAATATCCTTCTTCAAATTGTTGAGGTGCTGGTCCAGCTTGCATAGTTGCTCAATTGTGTCCCTCACAGGGAGATCAATTCCGCATACTACAAAAACAAAGGTATTTAGTTCTAATGTGACTCTCCCCTTTGTGCCACATTCTCCATGATCTTCCATCGAATCATAGTAAGTCTTCCTCATGTGAGTTTAATTTACAAGTCAGTCCTTTGGCAGGACATCTTTGTAAATAAAGGATTGGTTCTATGTCCCACGTAGTAAAGGTCGCTAATTAAAGAGTGGGAAGGGAACTAAGGCAATGTACAACTTGTACACAGATTCATGAAACTATCAATGGACCAGCTGAAGTCCGTCACCAGTTCTCATAACACAGAAGAGGCTGACTACCTTTGTTACAGCTGACTTTCCTTGTGATAAATATCCACGCATCATATGTATGTTGTAGAGGTGAAGCTGAATCCACAGCGGCTTTTGATTACATATATTACAACTGTCACCTGGCTCCTATATCAGTTCCTTGGATAAATGATTGCTAGTCATTGATTTGGTGTAGTGGATGTCTAAAATCACAAGATCAAATTACCAATGACAGACATGAAAATTTGAGAGTTTTATTTAAAATTGGGGACAAGCATCTTGCAAATCTGCTCAGAGGAATCGCTTTCCAATGTGTCACTGGACCACCCTTCGTCATCTTGGTCTTTGTTGGCAGTCGTGGTGTCTGTGGACCTTAATGCAACCTGAATGCAACTCTTGAAAGCTACGTAGTTTTCCATGAACATTTCCAATATTTCGATAAATTCCTCTCGGTCCTTCACCTTTGAGTACAAACAAGATACATGTCAGATCAATGAAGTTGGTGTGTACGCTTGCGTGCGGTGAGAGTTTCAGAAATGTATTACTTTTTTATTGGGCTTTGTTCGCTTGAAATAAAGATCCAGTTGCTTTGCTACAGATCCCGATGTCAATGCTGTTCTGCTCCGGAGTGGTAAGTTGGATTCCATTTTGGCCCCCGAGTTACTTTGACCTGGCTGGGATTGGACCTGAGGAAATTTGGAAATGATTGAATGGATTTCCCCAGGTTGGAGAATACCTGAATGTAAAAGTCTTTCACCCAGATGAGCCAAGGGCTCAAAGCGTGTTTGAAATTTTTGTAAGTTCTTCGACATCAAATGAAGTTCTCCAGCTGAAATTCCCTCAGAGGAAATCCTTCTTGGAGTCCGTTTCATTTTCGAGTGTGATTGAGCTGTGGTTCAAAATGATATGAGAGTCAACATAGGAATCAAGACCAGCAAAGTGGAGACCACATACGCGATTTGTGATGCTTGATATTGATTTTGGCTCCTTGCATCCCCTCATCGAGTGCTTCAAGATCCATGAATTTTCTTTTCTATATAGCGATTGAAAAAACCAGAACTGGCGCTTGTTTCAAAACGATAAGATTCTTTTGTTGTCCAACTATTTTGGGAGTGGGGTGATGAGGACCAACACCAGATCCCAACTTAATAGAAGGTTTTATGTAGTCGCGGGTCTTTTACCAGCAATTGAAGACGTCTCCCCTGGGGAACTTTGCGCGCCTAAGGTACTGAACTGAGTTACTCATATCTAACTTAGCTCTAGTACCATAGACTTCAATTTTTTTTTGTCACAACTGGATGAGTCTGTTATAAGATGATGTAGGCCGTGGTTGCGTATCTCCCCTCCTTACACTGTGTTAGCTGAGCCTTCTCTGAGTATTAGTGACTCAAAGTTGAGTGATAAGACCCCGCAATGACAGGGGATAGTTGATCAATGTTCATTTGCGAAGAACATTGATTAGCTATTGGTCAGTATGCTCATCCCGAGCCAACCAAATAGCATGTTCATTTTCAAATAACGTTGATTAGCTATTGGTCAGTATGCTCATCCTGAGCAGCGTCAAAGTGTTCATTCATATAATGAATGACTTTTCCTTCCCCTCCAATCACTAATCATCATCAGAAACTGACCGCTTCCATGGTTCCGGTGAAATCTTTGTGAAATCTGCTGAGAAGTGATGCTGGCTGACGGTTGCTGACAACCGCAACCTGTCCCGCCCCCTACCAACAGTATCGTGTGTTGAGATTCTCCCGTGAATGGAGACTCATGTATGTCAGGATCACATATAACAACTTCAAAGACACACACAAGTCCTTGAGATTGCTCTGAGCATATGGACTTTCTCTCTGTGTCTATTGACTATCTTTCTGGGTCATCAACATCTTTTCTTTATGGATATATTGGCTGCCCACTCAAAGGATTTGCATCGGCCATTTCACATATTACTGATGAAGAGGGTCAATTTGTTGATGCTAATTAAACCCTGAACTTTGTGTTTGCTCTAAGCAATGATTGCATTTCTATAAAAACAAACAGCTTTTTGTACGTTTGTGAGTTTGAAGGAAGTCGGCCTAAATTGAATGTTCTTAATGAAATTTTGGTGGTGACACTAGGCAGTACAGTACTGATAAATGGCGTCCTTGGATATCTACTGGCTATATTTTCATCGTTTCAAGCAAAAGCTGGAAGTACATTACTTCAGATCTTGATTTGTTTGAATTCAATAGATGTGAAGGGGGATGAGTTTGCAAAAGAAGCCTACAAGGACCAGTCACTGCCAGGATATAGGTGTTGTGTGAAATCTCCACTAGCACGTGCGTATCAGCTCCAGATTAAAACTCAAAACAATCATGATCATGAATCTTATATCCTGATTCATAGTTAAACCAGCCAATCCCATTGTTTATTCTTCAACTGAAAAATTGTCATCTCCTCATTTCTAGACTGCCGATTAGACGATTACAAGCTAGTAGAATAGCCTGAAGAATGATCTCATGGACCTTGTCACGGCCAAGCAATTCTTGCCTTGAGACAAAATCCCTAGCAGTGCTCTACCCACTGAAATTGGTCTGCGAGGCGCAAATCAATGGATGTACATTTTCCACATTTATGTTATAATTGATTAATTGGCTAGGTTCCACTACACTTTCAAAATGGTTTCGCTATTTACAAACTATGTACTACAAATTCAATATAAGTCTACTTTTCACCATACTTCTATCTGCAAAACCAATTTCCTTGATCAAGATGATGTCAAAAAAAATAGGCTTGATGAAACTGTGTTTCTCGGGTATTTTCTCAACTTTGAATTAGCAGGTGGTTCGTGCATTTTCCAACACCATGTCTGAATGTGATGGTATGAATGAATGGATGAGTGTTTGTCTGGCTTCTAAGCAAAAAGCAGCTCTCCTCAGTAGGTTCTTTGTATGAGTTTTTCTTGAGAACATCAAGTGCAGCTTAAGGTTCAAAGATACATCAATTCAAATCTGGCAGGTCTTTTTTAAATTAGATCCTCAAACCACGACAAGACATGACCAATCAGACACATTCATGTTGTATGAATGACAGAACCTTTTCAATCAAAATCCACCGACATCAACTTAAATAACATAACACATATCAAACCGGTTTGTCTCTGACATTCTCCATTTTCTTCTTTATATGATTTGTTCTCTCTTTTACAGATGCCTCTCGAAAAGCCAAAAAGAAGAAGAAGAACAAACATAATAATATAAACCAAAATACAAGGGTCGCGCAGCCTTCAGGACGTGGTCGGGGTCGTGGAGGACCTCGCAATGATTTTGATAGAAGTACACACCCTTCTACTGGGCGAGGTCAATGCAGGTATATAAGTGTCCTAGGACAGACAAATACATCATGAAAAAGACTCACGAGACACACCTTGCACATCTTGAGCCGACATATCCCCAGCAATAGTTGATTCTTGACTGGTCTTGGCGGCTATGGGTTGGTTTAAGTCACTCTTTCAGGTGCAAAAGATCAAGATTGAGGATGAAATGAGCAACTTACACACTCCTTCGACGGTGAAAGAACGCAAGGCTGAATCTTGACTGGCAATCGAGGCGGTGGTTGAAACTTCTTGACTGTTGTTGGACCCCTCTTGACTAGCCTCCGTGCCTGCTTGACTGGCCATTGAGGCTATGGACACTGGCTTAAATAAATCTCGAACATGGGCTGGGCAAGAACAGGACAAAGATAAACTTACACACTCCTTCGACTGTGAAAGAACGCAAGACTGAATCTTGACTAGTGTTTGACTCTTCATGGCGGGTGTTTGTACCTTCTTGACTGTTGTTCGACCCTTCTTGAATAGCCTCTGTGGGTGCTTTACTCGCCATTGAGGCTATAGACACAAGCTTCAATCAATCTCGAATATGGGTTGGGTAAGAACAGGAGGTATTCCAGTGGTGATAGATCAATAAGTCAATTACTTTTCATGTCACATACCTTTGTAAGGATTGATAAAATGAATCTCACAATTTCAGGAAATGGACTAACAAATGTCCCTCCTTCCTTTAATGTATTGGACTGAAGACAAGATTGAACAGAACAATTATCATGCTGGGGAGAAAAGACGATAACCAACCTGTTCCATGATTTCCGTGAAATCTTTGTGACATCCGGTGAGAAGCGACGCCGCGTGACGGTTGTCGACAACCGCAACCGGTCCTGCCCCGCCTCTGACCACTTGATCCAAATAGAGTATCACGTGATTAGATTTTAACCCAAGGATTCAAGACCACGTTATGTAATGTATTTCTGTATTTCATCTGTCAACTTTTGATTGGACTCCACTCCTTTCATCCTCATTCATCCTTCCCCTTTCTTCCAGTACATTCCCAACGCTTCACCCACTCTCTCACCTTCAGATTCATTTCGAAAGATCATCTCCAATTATATATAAATTTCTTTCATATCTCCTGTTATAAATAAATATATTGCTTTCATCGCTGATCGATTGCAACTACTAGCTCATTTCCTGGCAACATCTGCCGATATCTTCAACTTCCTCAAAGATTAGCAAATAATCTCCTCTCCGATCACTTCGATCGGCCCGACTATCCTTCTGTTCTTGACCTACACCTGATATCTTCTTTAGTGAGTCGTCTCACATCCGTTTCAGAATTACTTTTTATCAATGACTGATATCCCCACGCTTGCTGTTCATTCTCCAGAACATATTCTTAAATTCTTTGTACCTAATGAACAACGGCGATTGAAAACTTGTTTCTATTTGTGAGTGGACTAATCGTGAGTACATCTTCTTTAGACACTTTCCTCACTTTCAATACCCTACCATCCCTTCGTCTCACTATCATACATTTCCGTATTTCCCATCCTGTTGACCTCAGCTACTAGGGACTCTCTCCCGTCGTCTTCGAATCCAATTTAAGGGACTTCTGTGTACATCAATCCGACTTGTCACCCTTCCTCAAAGATTAGCGAATAATCTCCTCTCTGATCACTTTGATTGGCCCAACTATCCTTCTGTTCTTGACCTACACCTGATATCTTCTTTAGTGAGTCGTCTCACATCCGTTTCAGAATTACTTTTTATCAATGACTGATATCCCCACGCTTGCTGTTCATTCTCCCGAACATATTCTTAAATTCTTTGTACCTACTGAACAACGGCGATTGAAAACTTGTTTCTATTTGTGAGTGGACTAATCGTGAGTACATCTTCTTTAGACACTTTCCTCACTTTCAATACCCTACCATCCCTTCGTCTCACTATCATACATTTCCGTATTTCCCATCCTGTTGACCTCAGCTACTAGGGACTCTCTCCCGTCGTCTTCGAATCCAATTTAAGGGACTTCTGTGTACATCAATCCGACTTGTCACCCTTCCTCAAAGATTAGCGAATAATCTCCTCTCTGATCACTTTGATTGGCCCGACTATCCTTCTGTTCTTGACCTACACCTGATATCTTCTTTAGTGAGTCATCTCACATCCGTTTCAGAATTACTTTTTATCAATGACTGATATCCCCACGCTTGCTGTTCATTCTCCAGAACATATTCTTGAATTCTTTGTACCTACTGAACAACGGCGATTGAAAACTTGTTTCTATTTGTGAGTGGACTAATCGTGAGTACATCTTCTTTACCTCCATTGCTCTCTCATTTTCAGATCCATACTGATATATCTGCTTTTTCAGTGGGGTTGCCAGACTTCTGCTAAATTGTAAGTTTCCCTCGATCATTTCCGGATCTTTATTGATGAAGACACTTTCCTCACTTTCAATACCCTACCATCCCTTTGTCTCACTATCATACATTTACGTATTTGCCATCCTGTTGACCTCAGCTACTAGGGACTCTCTCCCGTCGTCTTCAAATCCAATTTAAGGGACTCCTGTGTACATCAATCCGACTTGTCACCCCCAGCCAACTAGATCTCGAAACTATGACGACCTACAATCCTTGCGATCCACTTGACAGGGTTCGATCTTATCACTGTGAACATCATTCAACTTCCCCAAGTTGGAAGAGGAAAATGATTAATAGTACAGTTTGTCATAAAAGGATCCAATACTGCACACCTGAGACATAACACCCACACTACATATGTGCAGCAAGCTAAGTAAATAGTTATCTATCATGTATATACAGGTCTGCTCAGTTTTTTGCCCATCAGAATAAATAAATCACATGTTATACCACATGTAACTTTTTTGACCTTGGAAAAATTGTCGCAAAAATTCACTACATATAATGCTGTAGCTGCTCAGGCAATATTACTGAAGCTGTTTCATAGTAACAGAAAGGGTGTTACATGCAGTTGAGTTGATGAGATCACACCAAAACACTGGGTGGGTGTATGTAGTCAATCTTTTGAATACTTTTGTCAATCTGAAAAAAGTTACAGCATGTATTACATATGAATAACTTATGCTGATGAGCAGATAACTGAGCAGAACTGTATGTACATGATAACCACCTATTCACTAAGCCTGTTGCACATATGTAGTGTGTGTGTTCTGGCTTAGGTGTGGAGTGATAGATCATTTTATGACAAATCATACTCCCAATCATTTTTTCCTGCCCACTTGGGGAAGCCGAATAATGTTTGCAGTGTATGCGCACGATTTGGACTTAATTGGAGAAATGACTGAAGAATGGTTACGAACTATTGACATGACATACCACCTAAATTCAGCGTTGAAAGATGTCTGGAAGGCGGTCGACGCGGAGCTTATGGGTGAGTCAAGCAGTGAAGTTGTTTGCTTTCGCTTCTTTTTTATTGATCCTAAGATTTCTGAGGCTCACGCTCATTGTTTGATATATATACCAACAGCAATCAAAAAAGGTATCTTAGGACCCGACCAGCTCTATCCCCCCACTGCAGCAAATACCGCGTTTATGGATGTATCCCCAGCATTCATTGTGGAACGGCCTACCTCTATAGGTCCATCCCAGGCCGCCTCCTTCATCAACAGCAATGGGAAGCGTGAACGGAAACCTGCAGAGGAAGAAGACGAAGAAGACGAAGAGCAAGTTGCAAAACTTCCGCGTCGCTCTGCACGGCTGTCTGCCCCGATCAAAAGACCCCCCGTCATTTGTAAGGCGGCTTCAAAGATTGTACCTGACTCCCCAGATTCCGTCGAGAAAGGACTTCCGCCTCTGGACTCCTCTCTGTCCCGGCAACAGTCGGGCCCACCAAGGTCAGGATCAGCCCCTCCATCAGAACAGCCTGAACCGCCAAGGGCTGGATCAGCCACCCCATCAGAAGGCCCATCAGACACCGTCAAATCACGTTCAAGGATCATTGAACCTGAAATGGCCAAGGTACTTCAGGAGATACATGAACTGGACGTTGGCCCTTCATCGATGCCCATTGGTACACCTTCCGACTACATTGCCTCTCAGATAACAAGAGCTTGTCAATTCCCACACCCCTCGGAATACGAACAAGGCAAACTTTGGGAGCAGATCGACCCTGAATTCCTTAGAGTCATGGGTACAGATCTACTGAGACGCGGTGACCTATCAGAAGTCCCATCAGACACCGTCAAATCACGTTCAAGGATCATTGAACCTGAAATGGCCAAGGTACTTCAGGAGATACATGAACTGGACGTTGGCCCTTCATCGATGCCCATTGGTACACCTTCCGACTACATCGCCTCTCAGATAACAAGAGCTTGTCAATTCCCACACCCCTTGGAATACAAACAAGGCGAACTTTGGGAGAAGATTGACCCTGAATTCCTTAGAGTCATGGGCACAGATCTACTGAGACGCGGTGACCTCCGACGTGGCAAATTCGGAGTTCTTGGCCTTGTTGAATGGATTCTTGACGCACGAGAGCATGCCAGCTGGGACAAAACGTGCGAGGCAATGGCTTTACAGAAATTCATAATCCTACAGGATCATCTCAAGGAGAAAGTCATATCAGAAGGCCCATCAGACACCGTCAAATCACGTTCAAGGATCATTGAACCTGAAATGGCCAAGGTATTTCAGGAGATACATGAACTGGACGTTGGCCCTTCATCGATGCCCATTGGTACACCTTCCGACTACATCGCCTCTCAGATAACAAGAGCTTGTCAATTCCCACACCCCTCGGAATACGAACAAGGCGAACTTTGGGAGAAGATCGACCCTGAATTCCTTAGAGTCATGGGTACAGATCTATTGAGACGCGGTGACCTCCGACGTGGCAAATTCGGAGTTCTTGGCATTGTCGAATGGATTCTTGACGCACGAGAACATGCCAGCTGGGACAAAACATGCAAGGCGATGGCTTTACAGAAGTTCATAACCCTACAGGATCATCTCAAGGAGAAATTAATTCACGACGAGGTCGATGAGCTACCACTTACCATTCTTGATTCACCTTCAAATTCTTCAGCTACGTTAGTTGGGCGTGGATCATCTCCGGCTCCTTTGAAACACCAGCGCGACTCCTCTCTCAAGAACGTCACTGCAGATGATCGTGTCGATAGCTTAGATGATAGGTTAAATGCAACTGTAGAATCATCATCCGAACTTCATGGAAGCCCTGTCAGGACGAAGCGCAAGAAGATCTCTCGCTTTGACATTGTCGGTATCTACCGAGAAGCTAGATCTGTAACCCCCCCCTCAGATGACGAGACCGGGCCACCAGCGAGTCTCACCCCCCCTTTTGACACGGACAAACAACTACAAGAACTTTCAAAATCATCAAAGAGAGCCAAGTCATCAAGGTTGGTCAATGTCTTAGTTCCTCATATCTCGGTATCATCGGGGAGCAAGAAGATCTCTCGCTTTGACATTGACGGTATCTACCGAGAATCTAGATCTGTAACCCCCCCCTCAGATGACGAGACCGGGCCACCAGCGAGTCTCACCCCCCCTTTTGACACGGACAAACAACTACAAGTACTTTCGAAATCATCAAAGAGAACCGAGTCATCAAGGTTTGTCAATGTCTTGATTCCCCATCTCTCGGTATCATCGGGGAACCAAACCGCACGCATTAAATCGGCCGCTCTCATGCCCAAACCGACCAGCGCCGCGCAATTGTCTCAAACAAGTGAAACCAAAAAACAACTTCAGATTGAAGGACCACAATACTCACCTGAAGAACTCAGTGTGACCCATTCAAAAGCATGGGATGCATTCATCTTTTCTTGGTGTAATAAAAATATTGTGATTTTAAATCCTCATCCATATATTTCTATGATAGGTCAATTCACTCCGGCCAACTTTTTACAAGACTTCAAAAATAATACAACTTTCATCAGTGGGAAAATGGGGGCAACAAGCCATGCCAGTGTATCTACTGTAGACGGAGCAAGTAAACAACTTCAAATCGAAGGACCCCTTTATCCAGCAAGTAAAGCCACCAACTCGTGCTCTGGAAGTGGTCCAGCTTCTCTTGTGACCTTCAAACCTCCCAAACAACAACTCTCAATTGAAATATTCACTGCTTCCAACTCTTTACAAGATTTCGACGATATTTCAACACCTCTCAGTGGGCAAACGCGTTCGACTACCCACGATGAGGCATCAATTGATGACGAGGCAGTCCAAATGTGAGTGAAAGAAAGAATATGAGCACGTCATCTTGAACTAACATTGCTTTGTATTACCAGTGCTGATGAACTGAGAGGCGGACAACTCAAGACACATACTCCTTCCTTGACCGAAGCCTCTCTATCATCTTCGCGCCAATCCGCAGTGTCTTGTTGACCGCAACCCCTTACCAAAGGTTCTTTTTGGGTAAACAAAATCGACATCTACGAAAGCATATCTGTGGAGAAAAACAACATCCAGCCCGCTGAACTCGTGGAAATTCATAAGGCCACACAGGTCTTATTGGAGACGTTGATCCGAGGATCTTGTATCGATTTCAATCCCGACGAAAACTTGACTCATCCTGTCAGCTTCAGTACCGCAAACCAACCAGGCATTCGACAGTGGTGTGAACGACCAGAAAGTAAGCCGGTATCATCTGGGAGTTCCTTGCATCTGTAAACACTAACGAGCTGCCATGCATCTTAGATCGAGAACTTTTCACGCCAAGTCTGGAAACCCTTTGGTATAAGCCCAACACTTTCAACTTCGACGCCATTGCACAATCGGACCCTCCGGAATCAATCTCTCGACATGAGCCTTTCCTCTGGAATGCCCTCAAGAATTTTTCCATGCCTACCCCCACCTTCATTGAGCGTGGAATGCACTACGTCTTGGCTGCCCTTGTCTTGATTGGATCAGACGCTGAAAAGGCGCATTTCTCTCAGGAGCTTCCCGATGTCTCACCCATATCTCGCGGGGCTCGCACTGCCTATTCATGCTGGCACCATTACAAGAAACTTTCATCTCTCCGATGGGCGAAGATCGGAGCGAAGAAAAGTGAAGCTGCCACTGATGGCTGCATTGAAGATCTTGATAGATTAATTGCAATTATCTACACAATGGTAGAGACCTTTGCTAGTATATGGGCATCTACAACTCTCAAAGCTGACATTGAAGCAACCGAACAATTGATCAAGAAAAGTCGATCCACCAAAGAGATTGATTGATTGACTTCAGGCTTGGAACAGCTGAAGAAAACTCGCAGCCAAATCAAGGTTGAATATACCAACCTACCGGCCCTTGTTGGTTTTCTCTGTTCCGGTGTCAAGGGTTTGATGATATATCCTACTCATGGAAGAGTATTCAGTCCTTTGCGAGCGGTTAACTTTTTACTTGTGACAAGCCACTTAGCCCAATCTGATCAATTGATCTCGGAGCCAATTTGGAAAAGGACGCAATCATATATCGTCGACTTTTTGAAAGCTGTCATCCTACCAACCAAAGAATGGGTTCCACGAGAATTGAATCGTTACCACCTGGCCAAGGCTTTATTCCTTGATTTCTCGGACTATTGTATTTCACGAAACATGACGACAATCTACATCCCCAAGTGTAGAAACTATAAAGTAAATGACAAAACGTATATGTGATTGTAATTTTGTTTCTTTCTTCCGTCCTTGATTCTTGTCGTTCTTTCTGCTGGGAAATGAAACGAACCAACGTTCAAAATTTGTACACACCTCTGTTGGGAAATCCGCAATGTTGTTGACCTTCTATCCTGTGTATGTCTTGCCTGAGCCAAGTTCAGTGTAGATTTTTGGTAAGGAATTGTCGCGGTTGTTGACAACCGTGACCCCCTGAAGGTCTATGTTGCATGTGCCGTCGTGCCTTCTAGAGACTTGGTGTCTCATCAAGGTTCATTGCATTTTTCGCACATACTCAAAACGGCCTTCTCACTCAGTATCACAACTTTTGAACAAATTGCATGAACTCGGCATGGCCAGTTCCAATAATCTAAATGAAGAGGGCATCGTCAAAGCTTCCCGCGAAGCAATGGATGGTCCGTAACAAATTTGTAGTCCTTTTGGAGCAAACTTTAGCATTAGCCGTAAATCAATATACCTTACTTTCAATCACAGAAAGGAGTGTACTCATTGTACATCTTTGAGATTTAGACTGTCGTATGCGAATTGCGTAGAGAAGCCGAAGATTGGTCTGCTATAACTCGGGTTTCTGATGATATTGACGGTGGAATGCATTCAAGATATCTTTTGAATTTTTTGCTATGATAAAATTCCAATATTTCTTCATTTTGATTCAGAGGCATATTATTCAAGATGTTGATTCTGAACGATATCATGAACGCTACTTTTTCATCCTAGCTTGAACCTGCAGAGGTTTGATATGTTTACAAAGACATATTTTTATTTATTTGTACTACATATTGTATTCCAGAGTTCCTCTTCCCTTGTCGCAGGTTGGCTTGAGCCTTCTTCAAATAAACATTGCCACTTCAAACCTCAACCGTTCTGGGCTTGAAAAACAGAAGATGAATGTAGCTATCAAACAATACATTTTAAGACTCAGTGGCAGAGCCATTTGAACCATCAACACAAATGTTGAGAATTTTGAAATCACCCAACAAACTGACTTTAATTACCACAAAACACATCTTGTTTCTTTAAATACTACTTTACAATTGATAAATCTGACAATTTCACATCACACACATTTTTTCTGGATATACTTTCAAACTTTATTTTGCAACCACTTTCCTTTTGCTGATATACTTCATTTTGTACTCATTTTAGTAAGCACATCGAATTCTTGACTTCAAGCTTCTTGACTTTTTTCTTACCTAGCGGATTTGTATTCTAGCTATGTTTGATCTGTTTTTGATGACATCACAACGGAGGAATAGAGAGATATTGTTCTTCATCAGTAAAGTTACACCTTGCAAAAGAGTTGAGGCTACAGAAACTGAAAAAGATTTCTCAAGATGTTCATCACAATGCAAGCTTACCTCTACAATCAATTTCAAGATCCAAGACTATCACCCGGCCCAACAGCAACTCTTGAAACCTTGCCACCAACAGGTGCTGTGATATTCTGTTCCATTTTCATAGCTGACATGATTGTTCAAGTGCAGCGCACAAAGAACCCATAGCACATTGCTATGCCATTCCAGACATGCTATCAATTGCACAATCAACAACATTGGCGCCTGATTCAGCGCATCACCTTTAGATAAAAAAGCTATTTGAGCGCTCTGGTTGACGAGTACAACGTCTAGTACAACGTCTCGACGTCTCGCCTCTCACAGGGATAGCCCTTGATTATAGTGCTCAAAGTATCAACCCTTCCGAGCAATCGTCGCGGTTGTCGACAACCGTGGACTCCTGAGCAACAAGGAAATTTGTCATTTGCAAAATTACGCTTTGGCACAAGGGTAGATTGCGTTACAAGCATATTATTACATGACCTTCAGATATTCCTAACCTTCAGTTCATTGATCTACTCTTTGCATCTCTCGGTTCTGGCGATGACAGAAGAAACAAATGGTGATGGGTGGCTGAGTAGGGTTTGTATGCACAACTTGAAGACTTGAGATGTCGATTAGAGTGAAGAAACTGAATATCCAGCATTCTGATATGATACTCAGGAATACATGGAAAGAATTTTAATAAAGTATGTGGATTCACCCCAGCCCAACCCAAGGATTCGTACCAGCCACTAAGATTAATTACTCGTCCGGTTCTTACCGGAAGCATGAGATAAGTCGGTATCTATTGAAATCGAGAATGTCAGCTTCTGAGGACTTTTTTTGCCAAAGCAAAAAGAGACAGACTATGATGGATCAGTGCATTCCAGAACTCCAAGATCTCCGTTTTCACATTGTAATATACTGATGACAGCCGAAGATATTTTCCCAGACATCCACAGGTGAGGATTCCAATGACCCAAGGGATGCTCTGTGTCAGTCTCCCACAAAAACCGTCCTTCGGTTGCAACCCAAGAGGTTTCAAAACTTCTTCGATCATGACATAGCAAAATTGATTGGTAACAAGTGCTTTTCCTTCTGGTACATGGTCGTACCAGGCAACCGATAGAGACATCCTGACGGCAGCGATCCATATTGGAGCGCTTTGATAAAGATCAAGCATAGGTTGGTGAAGTTCAATCAAAGCGCGAGCTATGTATAAAGGGAGTATGTGTTGGAATAGTCCGCCATAGATTCGAAAATGAGATTGGGTCATCGCTTTGAGCGTGAATTGATGTTGTTTTGTATCACTTGAGAAATATTTGAGACAGATACCGGTCATCAACTTGAGAGTACTCACGAGTCAAACTCGTTATACCAGCCATTCAAACAGAGTGTGATGTCCCCCTTTGTCTTCAATCCATCTTCCTAAACATTCTCAAGACTGAGGATGTGGGTATTCCTTGAAAGGCGGTGCATGCACTAAGCCCCTCAAGATTGAGGGGCTTAATTAAGCTGAAGTGCCTGCGCACAGTTCAAGCTACTCAACATATCTCTTTTATCCTCTTCTTCTTGACGATCTTTTCTACCCTTTCATCATCAAGCCACCATCCTATTCAATGGGGCCCTTTGAAGATACTGTGCATACTCAGCTGTAAATGCTCAGCAACCGTGATTCATATCAGCTCTTTGCCAAACCGTGCAGCACAACCTACCCATATTCCTACTAATATAAATACCTCAATATATCTATCCTCAAGGCAAGGTCAATCTAGAATTCACAAGTTAAATCTCTTCACTTATCATAGAACTCTGAAACATCATGTCGTCCACAGTATTGGAGCATCTCAAGGTAGACATTAATCATCGATCCATTCACATAATGTGTTGTTGACATCATCCTACTATCCAGCGCCTTGTAACCGACCTTCACACAGTTCAAGAGCGAAACTTCCAGAGCCTCAAAACCGATCTGAATAATCTTGAGGTCAGAATCCTTACTTCCTCACAAATGGCTTCATACACATCCTCAACATTACTGACGTCGAAGTGCCGTAACAGTCAAAATATGAACTAACATTTCTACAGATCCAGGAGCGTCTCAAAGGTATTCAAAAGGGTAGCGCTCCCTTGGAGGTGAGGTCTTCATCCAACCTGAAACTGCTTGTATTTTTTCGTATGCTGAATCCTCTGCCGTTCATAAATTTCCAATCTTTCCGTGACAACAAAAGGTCATCGACAATAATCAGGTAAAATTGAAAAAAAACAAAAATGATGTTTATCACCCAAGCTTATCATGTTTCTTTCACAGGTGTCGCATATGATAGACTCATTCCGGATTCCTGGACCCCTTTCTGAATCTAAGCTTATGAGCATACAAGAGAGTCTAGTCAGCTTGAATGCAAGGCTTGATGGCGAAATCAAAAGGAATGATCAACAGGATGCGGTACTTTTCCTGGTACAATCTGGTCTTTCATTCGTTTATCTACTAAAATTACCGTTTTTGTTTCGTCAGGGACGTCAAAAGCTTGAACGTGACTTGGATAGCTTCAACACTCGAACGGAGAAGACATTCAAAACTTTCAATACAAACTTCCTCAATTTCGAATCCACCTGGACCGGTAAGCAAGAAGATGAGCTGAGAACCGTGAATAGTTGGTTTACACAATTGGAAAGTCAAATACATGCCGATCAAACTAAATATACCAAGCTTTGGCAAGACCAACTGGACACTTTGTCTCACTTGAAAGACTGTGATGAGAAATTGGGCCAAGCAACTATATTGAATAAGAAGGTAAGCACCTTTTTCTTTCTGGACAGAGGTTGAGACTTGAGTGCTATACTGATATTTTACTTTTTTAATGTCGGATATGTAGGACTCTTTGGCATCCTTCGAGCAGGTTCACCAAAAATTGAATGTGAGTAGCAACACATTAATGGAGGGGGGATCGTCACTGACCAGTCATCTGTTATGTATATGATGCATCCAAAATACAACAAGGCCCTTGAATTACTTATCGGTACATCTGATCAGCATATACTGGATCTACAAAATCGGGTCGAAGAACAAAATAACCAATTCAATCACAAGTCACAAGGCTGGGACGAGCATAAAGCCACTTCAATGGATAATCATTCATCTGTTGTCCGAAAGTTGGAAGACCTTAACGAACAGATTACTAAATACACTGAAATTCACAATTCATCGGAAACTTTGCTTTTAACTAGCAAAGATCATGAAGGGTATTCTAAAGTAGGTACTGAAACAAACATCTCCCCACTATCTTTAGGGCTAAAAAACATTTTTTCTTCAGCAACTGGTGGATCTTAGACAGCAAATCACTGATCTGAGAGTGCTCGAGGAGACCCGTCAGGTACGCACGCTGAAGGAGTCGACTCCATGCTTTGATGATCTGCGTAGACAACTCATACCTTTTGTCTGAGTCAATTTACAGGTAGCACACTCTAATCAGAGCACTATTCTTCCCCATACCGTAAGTGAATGGGAATATTCCAAAGGGTTTTGTCCTTTACTGAGAGAATAACACTACCTTTATTATACAGGAACATCAAAGCCTCATGGTACCCAACACCGTAAGTGCTTTGAGATTGCCAAAAGCCTTGTGGAATACCCATTCTAACTACCTCCGACTTACAGGAACAGCTTCTTGAACCAATTCACGAGAAGATGAAGACCTTGGAATTGTTGATCAACCGCAACCAGGTACGCATTCTCATGGCTGCCTAAGCTTCAGGTTTCATCGTGGCTGACCTTTTCCTCTTTTGATCTGATGTCAATTTTGTCGACTTGTAGGCAACACTCTCTAATCAGAGCCTTATTGTACCCAACGTTGTAAGTCACTTACTTCAGAGCTCTAAAAACTTGTGAAGTACCTTTCTGAGGGTTCATCACCATTCCAGGAACCGCTTCTTGAACCGATTCACGAAAAGATGAAGGCCTTGGAGTCATTGATCCACTGCCGTCAGGTGCGCATGCTGAAAGAGGCCATAGTTTGATTCCTGGCTTAGTGAAATTACTTTTTTTGACACATTTTTTCAGGCAACTCACTCTGATCGGAGCCTCATTGTCACCGACACTGTATGTCACTTTGGAGCTCTAAAAGCTTTGCGGAGTACCCTGTCGAGGGCTTATCACTACCTCTGACTTACAGGAACGGTTGCTTGAACCAATCCACGAAAAGGTAAAGGCCTTGGAGTCCTTGATCCATGACAATCAGGTGCGCATTCTCAAGGATTACTTGGTTTTGACCTTGGCTTACCTCTTATTCTATTGATTTGATGTCAAATCTACAGGTAACACAATCTAATCAGAGCCTTATTGTCCCCAATACCGTAAGTGACTGGAGACCTTAAAAAGTGTTGCGCAATACCTTGTTGAGAGACCATCAGTACCTTCGTTATACAGGACGAGATTCTTGAGCCAGTTCACACAAAGATCAAGGCCTTGGAGTCCATGATCAGCAGCAATCAGGTGCGGATTCTCCAGGCTTCTTGAGTTTTCAGCTTTGTGACCTTATATTTTCTTCATATATTGTTGAATTTCAGGCAGCATGCTCCAAGGTTAATCAGAGCCTTATTTTACCCAACGTTGTAAGTCACTTTAACTCACTTCAGAGCTCTAAAAACTTGGTAGAGTACCTTGTGAGGGTTTATCACTACCATTGAATTGCAGGAACAGCTTCTTGAACCAATTCGGGAAAAGGTAAAGGCCTTGGAGTCGTTGATTAACTGCAACCAGGTACGCATGCTCAAGGCTTCTAGCGTTTTGCCATTGTCTTCCCTCTGATCCTGGTCTTCTGATGTCTATTATCAGGTAACAACAACTCAATCCCATCAAAGATTCGCTGTCCGCAACACCGTAAGTCATTTGTGATCTTCAAAAGCTTTGTGGCATACAATTCTGAGGGTCTATGGATTTCAGAATGCCACGATGGAGAGAAACCCTTCAAGACAATTTAGCACTGAGTTTAGTGGCTCCAATACTTTGAGTGACTCCCCATCTGGCGACTCGATGGTGAGATCACCACGTTCATCGTCCAGCACCAAAACATGCGTCCCAAACAATCTGCAGAAGAGGCGGGAACCAGTAGGTTCAACTTCATTTGATCGGCATTCATAATAAGCTGATCCCATGGGCTTTTTTAAATAGCAGCAAGACCAAGGTCGGCCGATCGTAGGGCTATCTTCAACAACGAACTCTTTGGCAAATGTCAGTCACCAACCCTTGGATTCAATGGAAAATTGAACTGAAGCTGACTCAATTAACGTTTTGACATACAGCTGTGTGATCAAAGGTCCACTTCACAATCGGCCAGTAGCTCCAGACATAACTCGTCTACCACCAACATGGGACACACAGGAGGATTTCCTTCGGGTTCAAATGATACTCGGGGAGATATTACAAGGGTCAGCAAATTGAATGATCTGCAAGCAAATGATTAACTCGAATACTGATTTGTTTTGATATCATTCAACGTAATCTAAGCTCGCAAGTCATAATTCTATGCGGACTCCAGGGCATTTGTCAAGAGATAAGAACCCTTTCGAGACCCCCACTTTCAGTTCTCGCCGAAAGACAACAGCGACAACAGCCGCACCTAAGAGGCCAAGTAAATGGATAAGACCCGGGCAGGTTAATCGAGCTGAACCTAGATCAAGCCTGAGGCAACAGAGAGAAAATATGGAAGATGGGCTGAAGGACGACGATCAAAACTTGGTGAGTGGCTCCTGTAGTCCATCACACTTTGGTGAGCTGACTTTTGTGCCACTTAACATAGACAAGAGCTCTGCAGTATCACTTTCGACTTGTGGCAAATGTGGCCAGAAAGAAATTATCCTTCCCAAGGTCTCCAACGAAGGCCAATCTAGAAGCACTACCTGTCCTTTCTGGTTCAATACCCCTAGGCCCAGCGGCTCCTTTCGTTATAACCAACGCACAAGTATCTCAAACATGGGATGATGATGAAACCACTCCGGAAGGCTTCTCAGACTATTGTATCAGGAGATTGAGACAGTATGGTCTCCCATTTGTGGGATTGAGCTCTGCGTTTGAGCGTGAGGATCCAAACGCTTTAGAATGGAATGAACGAACTTTGGCTTTTTGCATAGACACGTTTCACCATATGCTGACTGTTGCTGGGGAGTATGACCATTTCTTTGGAGTAGACCAGCCGGAGATTGATAACGATAGGGTGGAAGAACTGCTCAGGGTTCACTTTGAATATCGCATCTCGAACAAACGCATGGACCAGAAAAAGGCTAATGCTATTCAAGACCACCAACAATACAATCGCCGGAGGCAACGGTGCAAAGGGGTACGAGCATTTTCCTACGTCTCTGCCTTTAGAAAGTGTTGCAGACTCATGGATTTTTTAACTGTAGTTGGCTCTGCGGCGGTTGGATGCTTGCCTCTCCGTTCCTAGTCTCCTTCCATACAAGGATTTGTTTAGGGATGAGCGCCTATGCTCGAGTGATGAATCTGACAATGATGTTCTTGAAGAAGATCGGGTCCGGCGCGTTCCAGTCTACCGTTCACGTGTAGGAACCATGTTGGTTGAGCATGTCGACAAAATGTATAGGCAACTCAGACAGGATGAAGCCCAGAAGAGAGCTGGAAGGAAACCTGCGAAGCGTATAACATCGACAACAAAGCATGCAACGGACTCACAGAGGTGGCCAGTGGGTTTACCTTCAGATTGCGTGGATGAGTTATTTATGATCAAAATTGGAGCAAAGGCCGTGCGAGCACTCAAGTTGAGGGACCCAATCTTGCAGAATATTCCTGTGCTTGCAACTTCGAATGTATAAAATCAATATTTCATCTAGGATCAGCTCAACTTTGGGTTCATTTGGATCTTGTATACTGCTCTTTCTTATCTGAAATCTTAAGCTAATTTATTCTTGCGCAAGAAAGGGTCTTTTCAAGTGTTAGATCTGCTTGCGCTCAGGGGGTCACGTTTGTCAACAACCACAACTATTTTACAAACAACATATCATTTTTATGACTAAAATTCGCATGTGTGCTAAAATCTTCTCATGTTTGGCACTATGACATTTCCCTTTGTGTGGGCCTGGAGCGGTATTTCTTGTATTTCTTGGATTCATTTATCGTGAACAGAGAGAATGTGTTAAGCAAAGAGCTTTTAGATACGTACTTTTATTGTCATTGTCATTTCTTTCCATCTAATTATAATTTCAGCCCAACTTCAGGTTCATTTGAATCTTGTGTACTGCTCTTTCTTATCTGAAATTGTAAGCTAATTTAACCTTGCGCAAGAAAAGAACTTTCCCAATGTGAGATCTGCCTGTGCTCAGGGGGAGCGCTCGGGAGGTCACGGTTGTCGACAACCGCGACGACTTTTCCTTGATTGATTGTAGCACTGTGCAGGCGAAAAACCTAGAATTTTGAATAGATCTCCCAAGGCTAAAGCACGACGCCAACTGCCCTGATATGATAGGATGGACAAACTAGATCAGAAGATCAAATCAAACAGCAATCAGTGTCAACAAATGAGAACCCAATCTGTAATCTGATAAAGAAAGTCATCAATGAAACGGGTGAAGAAAGAAAAGAACCAACTGAAGTTTCAACCAGGAGCAAGGAAGAGTCAGAAATCGAGTAAATCCAAGGGGGAATATGGGTCACAAGCACAAAAAAGGAAAAAAATAGAAGCAGAGGCTGAGCAGCATCATTTGAGGGGAAGTTATTGTTGACTCAAGGTACATCTTTTTGGACTAGATGAAGAATATGCTCAATGTGAATATAAAACCTCTTTCTCAATGAACAATTGGATCTTTTGAACACTGACTGAACTCAGCCAGGATCAAATCAGATAACTGGAATAACTTCTCTTGAGATGGAAACATTTATCTAGACTTAGGTTGACGACATATAAGATGAAGTTGTGACTATTGTGGATGATGACACGCTGTTTACGATGGGAATAAGTTGACCAAGAGAAATAAAGAAATAAAGTAAATCAGTAAGACAGAATGCAAACATACAAAATAGGAACAAATGCTGAGCAGATTTTAACATTTGCATGTATGCACAACTTGCCACAGATCTTCTTGTACTTTGTGATTTGGGCTCATGTGTGGAAGTTGTGTACATTAAATGTGAAAGATGATTGATTTCTTTTAACAAAGTTTCTGTATGATAGCTGTGGTGGTCATATTGAATAGCTCCATGAAAGTCATTGAAAGAACCAGAAAGAAGTCTACGCACACACCACGCGCAGCACATCACCATTCAATCAAGTAAAATAACACAGAATGGCCAAAAGGAGTGGAATTACATGTCAGAAGTATGTTTTGTCATTCACCTTATAGTTTCTACACTTGGGAATGGAGATTTTTGTCATGTTACGTGAAATGGAATAGTCTGAGAAATCAAGGAAGAGAGCCTTGGCCAGATGATATCGATTCAATTCTTGTGGAACCCATTCTTCAGTTGATTGAGTGACAGCGTTCAAGAAGCCAACTATATATGATTGTGTCCTTTTCCATATTGGCTCTGAGATTGATTTGTTGGATTGAGCTAAGTGGCTCGTCACTAGTAAAAAATTCAAAGCCCGTAGAGGACTGAATACTCGTATATCAGTGGGATAGATCATTAAGCCCTTGACACCAGAACAGAGAAAGCCAACAAGTGCTGGTAGGTTACTGTACTCGACTTTAATTTGACTGCAAGCTTTTTGCAGATGTTCCAGGCCTGAAGTCAATAAATGAATTTCTTCAATGGATTGACTTGCTTTGATCATTTTTTTGGTTGCTTCAATGTCAGCCTTGATAGATGTAGATGCCCAGATACTAGCAAAGGTCTCGACCATTGTATAGATGATTGCAATCAATTTGTCGAGATCTTCAAGACACCCATCAGCAGCTTCAGCGCGCCTTGCTTCTATTTTCGCCCAACGGAGGGATGAAAGTGTTTTGTAGTGGTGCCAGCAGGAAAAAGCAGTCCGAGCCCCCCTAGACATTGATGAGACGTTGGGCAGGTCGGGGGCGCAATGCGGCTCCTCGGCATCCGATCCAATTAAGATAACGGCAGCCAGGACGTAGTGCATTCCACGCTTGATGAAATTGGCGCTAGGCATGCAAAAAAGTTTAAGTGTGTTCCAGAGAAAACGCTCATGTCTATAAATGGTTTCCGGAGGGTCCAATTTTGTGATGGCGTCAAAGTTGAAGATCTTGGGCTTATACCATAGTGTCTCCAGACTTGGAGTAAAAAGTTTCCGATCTACAGCGCAGTACAGGTCGTCAGTATTGAGAGATGTAAGGAACTTCAACACAATGCTAGCTTACTTTCTGGTTGTTCACACCACTGTCGGATACCCGGTTGTCCCAAGCTACTGAAGGTGACCGGCTGTCTCAGTAATTCGTCAGGATTGAAATCGGTACACGATCCTCGGATCAAGGTCCCTAATAAGACCTGTGTGGCCTTATGAATGTCAACGAGTTCAATGGGCTGAATGTTGTTTTTTTTGACTGATATACTTTCATACATGTCAATCTTTTGCACCCAAAGGGGGCTTTTGGTAAGGGGTGGCATTTGAGAAGCGGCTGAGGCTTGATGAGTTGATGTACTGACGACAACGACTGATGGAGAAGGGTCATGCGACACTGGTGAGTTTCGTCTACCTCTCTGTTCATGATCACTAGTAACACAGCATTGTAAGCTTCATATAACTAGCTGTCTCTGTTCTTTACTCACAATTGTAATCTTTTATGATTTGATACATCATCATTGCTAGTTGCATGTGCTTGCACTTGATCAGATATTGAATGGGGGTCGTCATCTTGCAAAGAGTTGAAGGTGGTTGATTGACCTATCACAAAAAGAGATATGTGAGCAATTTATAATTAGATTCTTTCAATGAAACAAAAAACCATAATGTCACCTGATTCTTTTGTTGAATGCATGTGAGTTGGTCCTTCAATCAAAAGTTGTGGGTAACGAGTTTTGAAGTGTGTGTTGTATGTGGTTTTGATGCTGGCTTGAAGGGAATCTGGCGTCTTTTGCAAGTCCAAATCAGTTTCATTGTTGCTGCGCGCCGAGTATACCAAGGGATAAGGGATAAGTGCGCCAATCAGCTGGGACTCGAGTGCATTTGATGAGTTTGAAGGTGTTTTGAAGCACATTGGTCCTTCGTCATCTGAAGCGGGGGTTGCACTTCGGGATACACGGATTGTACCGTACAATCTGGATCTAGTATGTTGATGTTCGGAAATTGTTTGTTGTGATAAAGACTTTGGTGGGGCTGGAGATTTTGCCTCAGTATCTGAAGGGGGAGTAACACTTCTGGACACACGGACTGCACCATACATTCTGGATGCAGTATGTCGACTTTTGCAGATTATCTGTTTGAGGTGTAATGATTGTTGAGAGTTACCCGATGATGAGGACTGATCTGTGGCCATAACAGTATCAAGCCACCTAGACGAATTTGTGGAGCGGAACTTGTTTTGCAATTTTGAAGGAGTCGCAGGTGATTCAGGCTGAACTAAAGTGGTTGTGGAACTCGGAGGGGAGACCAGATTGGGCGAGGGCACAGGAGTGTTGTTGGAATGAAGTACCGCCCTTTTGAGATGTTCGCGCAAAGTTTTTAACTTTCCTAAAGCTGCTTCCTCGCATATGTCATCCCAGCCATCATGCTCGCGTGCGTCCAGAATCCAATCGACAATGCCAAGAACTCCGAATTTTCCACGCCGGAGGTCACCGCGTGCTATTATATCTGCGCCCATTACATTGAGAAATTCGGACTCGATGTTCTGCCACAGTTCGCCTTTGTTGTATTCCGAGGGGCATGGGAACTGACAAGGTTGTGTTATCTCGGAGGCGACGTAGTCGGAAGCTACACCAATGGGGATAGATGAAGGGAGGGGGTCCAATTCACGTATTTCCTGAATTGTTGCAACCCATTCAAGTGCAATCTCTTGTGAGTGTGATTCAGGGGAATCTACTCCTGGCGTTGACAATATTATCAAGTTTTCAGCTTGGTATTTCGGACTAGACGGACAGATTTCGGGTGATGAATCGATTTTTGTCTTCTTGGTCCTGGAGTTGCGCATTGGTGATTGGGCGATATCATCCCATACTACTGGAGTGGGGTAAGGTGATTTTTGCGTGGTTGCGGACAGACGCGCAGAGCGGCGGGGAATGTTGGCGATTACTCGCCCATCCTCTGGAGGTGTCCATTCACGCTTCCCATTCTGATTGGTTGAGTGTTGCAATTTTGGGTCTATTGCTTCACTCCGGGCTGAGTATGAAACTTCCGTCTTGTCAAGATACGAAGATGGGTCCAGGATTGAGTCATGGATGTGCTTGGATGGTAAGAGTTCTTTGTGAATTGCTTTTTGTACAAAGACCAACAGATCAGTATATATATGATGGGTAGAAGAAATTGGAGCACTTAACATACCTGGAACCTCGATGGCAACTACGTTCCAAACCGCTTCTAACGCTGAATGCAAGGGATATGACATGGCCATACTGTGCAACCATACATCAACCACTTCGGCGACTTGACCCAGGTCCTCCAGATAACACTGCATCTTGGCTCGCACATTACAAGGATTAATTGGAGTCAGCATGCTTGTGATATGGCCTTGATGAATGCCTTGAGAAGGTGTTTTGCAATTGCGGTGTGGAAGAGAAGAGCTATAATTGAAGCTATCCGAAAAGGAGCTAAGCAAGAAGCAAGGATTATTGATCGATGTAGATAACTGGGCAAGGAAACTAATGAGCAAGCAAAAGAGATGATTGGGTGATAGGGAGGATTGTGAAAGATACAGCAAAGCAGTGGTAAAATGAGGAAAAGTTTGTTGAGATGGTGGTGGATCCAATTAAAAGTTTGGACCAATGTGGTTTCTTGAGGCAAGGATTCTATGGCCCCGAGTCCATCATAGTCAGCTCTAATTTTGTTCGGGTTGCCTTGGGACTTAGTACAGTTGTCATAATCCATATGTACTCATGAGGAAAAGTTCAGTATTTCCATCAATCGGGTCTCACATTTCTTTGTGGGGCGAGTTTTTCTTTTTGTTACTTTATTTCTATTTCATTTTATTTTAATCTCATATTTTGTATTCCCTCGTGTATGTACATTCTGTTAGTATCGGGAGGAAACGGATTTTTGGATGAAGAGATAATTCTTCATTACCAAAATTTTGTTTCCGTTGGGGGAATCCATTCCCCCATCTCTCCTTGGTACCTGATCATTTGGGTACCGAGTCCGCCCGGTCAATGAGTTCCTAGTTCCTTTTTCATGGAATTACATACGCAGGTGCCGTCGTTCCTTTGGGCACCTGCTACATACACTTACTTAGTCCCCTTAACCCAATACACTCAAATGCATCGCATTTTGAAATTTTATATTGAATCGCTTGTAGTGGTTGCAATTAATAATTTACATCGCATGTACAGCGAGCAATGTAAAGGGTTGAGTCGCACAGATGCTAGTCATGCATTTGAATCTGAGTGATGTTACATCACATAAAGTTACATCACAAAGGATCCATGCAATGTGAAATCACAGCGCAATTGAATCACATGAACCCTTGCGATCCAACCTTGCATGCGATGTTGAATCACTTCCAGGACAACCTACTCAAAATCACATCCTTATTACATCACACAGCACGGATGTGATTGAACATCACAAGTCCCAGTGCTTTGTGCTGGTGCATACCACCATGCCATTTAAAAATGTTCCCGGTGAGATAGACCGGTTTTTTGAGGACTTTTTTGTAGTATGTTTCGGCCTTAGTTTTCATCGGTTGAATGGCTGGTCGGAGCTCTTGAGCGTTGTAATTACACCAGCTCTGTTAAAATATGAAATACATCAATATGGCGAGGTAGAACAAGGATTTGATCAAAAACAACATACCAAGTTCAATTTTTTGATAATCCATTCATAGACTGGAATCACATCTCCGAGGCTTGGGTATTTGCTTCCCATATTTTACCTCCTTGAGCTGGAATAATTGCTTGACATATGTTTGTAACTACTTTAGTCACCTCATCACGTTCAGTCTTGAAATGCTGCCAGACCCAAGAGGACTTGTGTGAGTTGTCAATCTCGGTTTTTTTGCGTGGAGGTGCTGATGCTTTAGAGCTTTTGGGGGTATTGTCTTTTGCTGGAGAGTCCGAGATTGTGATTATGCTACCATCAGAGGGGCGAGGGCGTTTAGAGGCCATGATAGTGGATGCAGAGGATGGAAACAGGCTAGTTTCCTCGATGCTGAGCTAGACAGCACCAAGAAAAAATTTTACCTACGGGCCGGGCCGGGCGGGCCAGGGCAAAAGCAAGGCCCGAATCGGCCTAACTTCTGGAGGCCGGGCCGGGCCGGGTCCATGCATTAGTGGGTAGGTTTTTAAGCAATGAGATATCCATTCAAGGACTTGTAGGATCTCCAGAGTGCATAATGTGAAGGCGGGAGTGGTGGAGTGGGTAGAAGAAAACTTTGACAATTCTTCTCCCACTCTGTACACACCCAAATCGTGACATGCGCATACCCATATGTCACAGTTGAGTCCATCACCTGTCCGCACCTGTTGCTTTATCACCTACGGAAGTGGAATTATGTGTGCCTCCGCAGGCTCTGGGAACACTGGCAACTTCTGTAAGATAATTCCACTTTCTCATTGCGCCTATTTACTTTCATATGTCTTATTGATATATATCACATCTTATAGCCAATGAAAGTATTATCAGAATTTCTAAGCTTGCATGTTAAAGCAAGAGTGCCTGCTTCATGTATAATCATTTCAATTTTAAAAATGGTACAACCAAAAGGTGGTGGAACACTTTGGAGAGGGATCGGTCCTTCACTTGTGAGGGCTATACCTGGTCAAGCTGTTTATACAAACAGTTTCTGGTTCACACATGGGGGAAAGAACCCCCCTTGCGGACACCGGTGCACACCGAAGTAATTGGGTGATCATAATTACCTTATACGCTACCCCCGCGTGGTCCACCAGCTTTGACCCAACGTGACGAAGTCCATATTTAATCAAACGCTTTTCCTCACAAGCTTGGAGGGAACCGAGCTTGCGAAGGTTCAAAGAGCCCAGCGAGAATTTACTTGTTTTAAGTTAAATATAGCTTTGACTTTATCGCACCGGGCACTCGGAATCAAGGTCATTCATCCAGTTTCAGAAGGATTTGAAGAATGTAGTTTTTCGATATGCGGGATTCCGGTTATACATACCCGCTTGTTCTACCAGCCCTGATGACTGAGATAAACCTTATCTCACTCGTGTGTCTCTGAGCGTGCTCGTTTGGGCAATCTCGGATTGGCGGTTTGGGAGATCCTAATCAAGCGGCTGGTCACTTCATCCGAAACATTTAAACGTCACACTTTGAAGATTACTGGGAGAGAAGAGGAAATCGTACATACCATATTCCCTTAATCTTTCAAAGTCTCTTGAAAATAAAATCTCCATCCTTCAAAGCGCTTTCATCCTCAACTTACTTTGGGCTCACAAACTCAGGAAAAAGATATGTCGTCGGTCTCCAGTCTTTCGAGGATCAATCCGTTCAAGTTCGAACTCGAGTTAATTGTGAGTCATTCTTTCTAGACCGGCACCCTCTCTTGATACACAGGTGGTCATGAGCTCAAGGATGATCGACTTGCATCTCATGCTCCGCGAAAATCCTACTGGTCGTATGTACAACAGGAGGGGATGGTTAACCCCCGATTCCCTTCGTGGGCTTTGGCCATCTTGATCTTGTTTGCCACCATGAGAGGTATGCTCATCCTTGTATGTATAGCAATTATGGTAATACCGCTAGGAAAGGGTCATGCAAGCCGCAAAAAACACTGGTTCTTGTTTCGGCGAATCTATAAACAACCAGGTGAGTAGTTTTAAAAAACATCCTGTGATCATGAGCATCAGTGGTGATAATCTGACTAGAAGTGATGTTCGACATGCATTCTGATTGAACTCGAACAGGGAGAGGGATTCCCTATGTTATCCCGAACAGGTCAATGATTATTGTGGTATGCGAACTGTGTAGTAGTTGCCTGTATTTGGTGGCGGCGTGTGAAAACTACAAGGTAAGTGTCCAAGGATTCGAATAACCCTCGCATCAAAAATGCTGATCACTTTTATTATGACTTTCAATCGAAAGACATATAGACGCTCAGGAATAAAGGAAGGAAGTAGTGGATGGTTTCTTACTCTCTGGTAAGTTCTACCGACCAAAATAGTAGACGCATGAAGGCTTGAATCCTCCCCAGCTTGTGACTGACTTCTCTCCGAATCTTCCCTTCCAGGTATGGTTTAACGTGGGTTTCCTGTTTTCGTACAGTGTTAAGATCATGAATCCCCGCTGACGTTTTTAGCCCGCCTTCACCTTGAACTCATATGTTATCAAACTAATCTAGGTGGATTCCGTCATATTTGGGAATCATGATGGCTGCTTTCAGTCTCTGTTATGCTTGGTTGAGTTGTATTTCACTTTTTCATCAAGGAAAAAACCCTCACGACGTGCTTAATGAGCTTTTATTTTTTTATTTGGTTTGAAACTGATGTATCATTTGTCAATTTCAGCCTTTGCGATGTCAATGGGAACAGGAAAAGCAAAATTCCTCAATTGCTTACCCCAATTGTCTACAACTCTGCATGGACTCTCTGGACCATCATTACTATTTCTTCTATGGCGTTTTGGACATTTCGTACGACACGGGCATTATCTGAGCTGGAGGCCGCTTGTATTCATACCTTTAAACTATTACAGCGAGGAGCTGATGCATGGGATGCTGATCCTTCTCAGATGCCTCCGAGGGGGATCTCTAATTCACAACTTTATATAATTCGAGCTGCCCAAAAGTCTGCTTCAGTTATTGATGGATGGGCTATCACTTGGGTCGTTTTGGCAGTCTCATTAGCAGTTGTGAGAAAATTCATTTCATAGAAGGAATGATTGCATCGTTAGACATTTGTGATCAGTTCCGGGTTTTGAGTAGAAAAAGCTGAGACTTCTGCTGATCCACCTTCAAAGTTTTACCTCTTCACAGTGCAGCTATTAATTCGCCTGCTTAAGCAGGTTCTGCGTAAGCGAGCTATAGACTCTATGGCGGTAGATGTAAAATGGTCTTCGCCAATATGGCAAGAATTGGAGCAGGAGTTCAGTAAGTTATTTGATTTACATTGGCCGATGCGACATTGGCCGACGGAAGCTGATCCGACATCTGCCTTCTATTATACATTGCAGGGTTCCTTTTCAAGTCTTCTATCCTTGTTACCCTAAGCATTATCTCTCAAATCTCTGAATTGGCATATCAGACGCATAGTTCAAAAAACCTCACAGAGTGAGTCGATTGAGTTCAACTATTTCTTTTTGGTGTCGAGGTGATCTCAAAAGCCTTGATTTTTGATTTGCAGTGTAAATTGGAGGATTGGCTCCGCCCTAATCACACAGCTGCCGGGAATCTTCATGACACCAGCGATCCTGGTACAATCGGTAAGAGAGCGTATTATTCATCCATTGAAAATTCGGTTCAACTCATAAATCTGATAAAAACTGGAATGCTTCAATCAAAGTGGAGAATATTCACAGAGCGCTCGGAAGAATTCAATTTTCGAAAAGTTCCCCTGACGTTTGATGATAAAAAGATTCCCGAAATGACTTCTCAGCTTTTGGGGTGGGATACAACAGTTTGCTGGGGTAAGGAGATAGATTTGGATGCTGTAAATTTTCCTGGTCTTTACGAGATTCAATCAACATTCTCAAAGGAGACAGAAGACGTCGATCAGAAGGATAAGCGGGTAAACCTTAAAACTCCTGCTGGTGATATAAGTGTTATGCGCTCAATTACAGTCACTCATGAAGAAATTTAAATATATTCACCTCAGTACTCAGTCTTCATAAGTCTTCATCAACCATATCATCACTGACACCATTATGTAGGTACTCCAAAGCTTCTTCTGCTAATTTTATTATTCTTTGTTTTTGTCTTCGAACCTTTCATTATTTTGTCTTTTTGGGCATAATCTTTGCTTCTGGATTCTGGGAATATCTCCATTTATTTGATTGGAAATCAATTTGTGAAAAGAAATGTCCTTAGCACTTATTCTGTCCATCCTGCTCTATCCACAAGGGGAGGAAATAGTGTGGTCAGGAGTGATTGCTAACTTCCTGACCACCTTCACATAGGTTTGTAAAGTGTAGGCTGGACTTTCTGTTGGTTTCACAACAGTGAGGCCAGCCATTTTGGGAGTAAACATATGGCCACCTTTCTTAGGGTCAGTGAATCCTCTTAGGAATTTGTGATCTCTGAGAGATGCCTAAGAAGGGTAGGCTGCACAATGAGATGTGGAGCAGAGCCCCTTCAAACCAAGGGTGGGTGGGAAATGAAATCAAGAGGGTTTGAAGAAGGGATCTTCTCCCAGTGCACAGATGGGAAAGGTCTTGCAACTGGTGGCCAAAGGCACAAGGTCATCTGTGAGGTCCATCGTGACAGACAATGCGGTGTATGAGCCAAAACATCAGGGCTGGGAAATACCCGGACCCACCAGAGAGAGAGGTAATACAAACTGTGAAAATGTTTAATTTTCACAATTCTGTACACCTCTCAAGGCTCATACACCTTCAGCCATAATTTGTAAAATCTCAAGATTTAAGACTTCCAAAAAGAAATAAATAGATTTATTTTTCAAAAAAGAAAGAATCAATATATGGATTCACAAAATCAAAGTTCAACGCAAGCATTCAACAAAGACATAAACAATATTTTATCACAACATAAAAAAGAGAAAAACAAGCAAGAAGAAGGAAGCTCAAGAGGTAGAGGTGCGGGAAGAGCAAATCAAGGAAGAGGTAGAGGTGGCAGAAGAGGTGGAGGTGGAACAACAGCAGCTTGTCAAACGAGGAGTGCGATAAAAGGAAAAATCAGAGAACCGAGAGAAGAACCTGAAGAGGAGAGCAATTTATCAGATGTGGCAAGCGGCAGGAAAGACAAAGAGAACAAAGAAGGAGGAGAGGTGGAAAATGGGAATGAAGAGAATGAAGAAGACTAGGATACCATCTCATTAGGTAAGTTCCAAGAAATAAGATTTTGTTTTATAAAAGAACATACCTTTCTTTTCCATTTCCCCTCTCTGTCTACTTTCATCAAACATCCAAATCTACATCCATCTCGATGTAAGAAAGAAAAAGACTGTCACCACACAAGTGGAGCAGATACTAGACCAGTGTATGATGTCCAGTAGAAATTGAAAGATATTTGCATAAATCGTTCAAAGACAACTAAAAAGTCAAGAGTGTGTTGGACCATGTCGCTTATAGAGCATGATAGTATATCACTAGGCTTGAATATCTTATAAAGATGGCTTGAATATCTTATAAAGATGGCTTTAATATCTTAAAAAGATGGCTTGAATATCCTAATGAAAGTTTGATTTGGAAAGTTTTGAGGAAAGATAGATAAAGCATGTGTGAAAGAAGCGTAGATTACTACAAGTACGAGATTTTATCAGAGCCGTAGAATACCAGCGTTACAAGTCCAAAGAAAGCTGATGAATGGTGGTGAATGGTGTTGTTTGATTTGAACAGAAGATAAAGCGGAGTTTGTAGCAGAAGACGCACACATTGATAGAGAGTATGAGCGCTACCTCGCGGAGTTGACAAGACTGTACCGGAAAGGAGATACCGGAAGATATGACATCCTAGATAAAGCTTATATCAGATGGTGTGAACAAATTGGAACTGATCCAAGGAGTATCAAGATTTTAGATGCCTCGAGTGACAAAGACAAAGAGATAATTTGGGTGCCGGAAAACAAAAGGCAAAAGAGACAGGAAACAAGAAATCAGCAAGACTTGCAAAGAAAATGAACCCCGGGAAAGTTTCAACACATCAGTTGATAGATCTAGCCCCCTATTGGGATAACAGAATGAAAGCTTGTTTTGGCTATGTACCACTCACGATCTTTGTTCCGGCATGGCTTCTAGCGGACAAGAATCATATGTCAAACCGGAGAAAGCAAAGTTTGTCATGCTCAGACGTGATAGCGTACGTGGGATTGAGGGTACCTAGCAAGTGGAGACATAGTTTTTTGATATGGTCGACATTTTTTCATCTATACGTGAAATATTGGCGATTGAAATATCAACAAGAAGAAATAGCCAATAGTTGAAGAGCATTCTAAGATAGCATTAGCAATCAAAGCAAAACATCATGATGCATTCGCCCTGGTGCTAAGATACAACATTACTTGCAGAACAAATGTCTTCAGTCGTACTCTTGAAGACAGTGGCTCCCTGTCTGATGTGGGAACACGGAATGAGGAATTGGTGGAGCGGGCGATTTCGGACTCAAAAGCAAATAAAGACCAGCATTATTTCAACAACCCGTACATTGGTGGTGGAGCAATGGAGAATGTTAATCTGGCCACCAGGAGAGTACAAGTTGGTTGGGATATGATTTCAAATGGAGATGAACAAATAACGGCAATTACTGGTGGATGTATGTTATCTCACCTAGCGCCAAGTGGAAGACATCAAGTGCAACCTCAGAACGGTCAGTTCTTTGGTGAAGCAAATCATCATTATGGTTATCATCATCAAGATAATGCAGAAGCGAGTGGAAGTGTAGGATACCATCAAAGTAATAGAGGAAGAGGAAAGCAAGGTAGAGGAATGGGGAGAGGAACCAGTAGTAGAGGAGGAAGCATACGGGGTGGATCACATTCAGGCCCCACGACCATTGTAAACGGGGTGATGGTGACAAAGTTTGGTCCAGGAGCCTTTGAAGCGGTAAAGGCGGCAAGACAAGCCAGTGTGAACGGAAAGAATGCAGGGACACAGTGAGTAGCAGTCAAGGTTGATTTTTTCCGTTTCTTCATCAAAAGAAAGTTGTCTGCTGGGAAAGATCAATATCAGATGTGAAATGAAAAGAACTGCTGTTTAAAATCCAAAAGATCTGAGCCCCCAAGAGATAACTGAGACACGTGATCAGAGAAATACTGAGACATACACCAATTTGCCGTTGACCGTTATCCAGATCCGTGCAAGTTAGAGAGCTAAAGGACTTGTTAGACACAGTTGAGAAACAACAAGCACAGGGGCAAAAATAGATGCTCACATAGGTGTGAGCGTTGAAATTTTTGTGTTTTCTTCAATGTTTGTTCAATTTTGCTTTCCTTTTCTTTCCCTTTTCTTCCCAATTTCTTTCTGCTTGTCATCTGATTACGTGATCAACAGGAACTGAGCAGACAAACTAAGCCTTCCTCAGGCCTTATTCATGAGCAAAGAAGTCTGAGGAAGGGCTGATCCATCTGCTCAATTTATCTCAGCTGCTCAGCTGATCTTGAGCGGCATTCCCTGGTTCAGTAGGCTCCAAGGGACACCACTTATGATTTTCTTAGGGGCTGAGCTGACCTGAGTATCCTCTGAGCTAATTTCCCGCAGCATCCCTTGGATGGATCTCATAGGGCCAGCCTTGCCTCAGGCTTCATGGCTCCAGAATGAAGCCTGATGCCCATCTGCTCAGTTGACCAATGCTACTCAGCTATCCCTCAGTGGCATTCCTGGATCAGAATTATCTAAAGGATTTCACTGCTCATTGGCTGATGGGCTGCTCATCTAGTCCTCAGGGGCATTCCTGGGAGAAGGATCCAAAGGATGTCACTCAGTGTTGGCTGAGGGGCTGCTCAGCTGCTCAGCTAGTCCTCAGGGGCATTCCTGGGATCAGAAGGATCCAAAGGATGTCACGGAGGACTAGCTGAGGGGCTGCTCAGTTGATCTCAACCCATCAGTGTGAGTAGCTTTATCCAGGAGACATCACTTAGGATTAGCTGAGCGGCTGAGATAAACTGAGCAGGGGGATGGCTCTTTTATGAGGTTTCATTCCTTAGCAAGGAAGTCTGGCCCATCAGTGACCCAGCCAGGGGGTGATACTGAGTATTTCCTGAGCATCTCAAATGGGACGGCCCCTGTGCATGCCTTCACTAAGAAATGGAGCCTGAGGAAGGTGTAGTTCATGTGCTCATTGTAATTTTGACCAAATTGCTGAGTATTCAGTGACTCATGAGCTGATCCTGAGTACTCATCTGGACTCAGTTATTGCTCATCCAAGATGGAAATGAGCCTTCTCAAGAAATGTCAAGCAAAATATGAGCAAAACAGGCTGATCACCTGAACACAACCAAAATTGTGAATTGAATGAATCTGAAAGAAAACAAATCTTTTTTGGAGACTTCAAAAAAGTCTACAATGCTCACATACATGTGAGCATCAATTTGGCCCCTGTGAGTACCTAAGATCAAGTTACTGTGAAATTACCCCTACAGTAAAGTACTGTCTACCATCAGAAGTTACTGTACAATACTAGTATCCCAAGGTGACATATAGGTATGGTACTATACTGTACCTTGGGTAGGTATCATACAGCCTTGTACCGTACCTGCCAAAGTAACTGCAAACTCAAGAGTAACAGAAGTAATATTCACAGATAAAATATATCTATTACTAAAGAAAAGTCGAAAGGTTTTGATTCCAGGGGGGATTATGTGTTTCAATGGCCCAAAGTGACCATTACATGAGATAGCTGTGTTGCAGTGGGCCAATCCACTCGCATCTACACCGGTGCACATCCACTTAGTCTCATACACAATTTCATGCTGATTCAATCTTGGAATACTCTCAGACATGCTTGCCATCCTTGTTGATGATTTTTGGGAAATGCCAGTAAGGCATTTAATAAGGATGTTTGGTAGGTTTGGTAGATCCTTTGATAGTTCTATGAAGTACACCTACTTTGGCATAAATCATACAAAAATACCCCACACTACAAAGAATATAATATTTTCTGGGCAGAAAACACAGGTGAGAGCTGGAGACAGAGTTCAGCTTTCTAATGAACCAATAATCAAGTGTTTTCCTTGCCAATTGCAAAATTTATGAGCATTTGTAGGTTTCAAATTGTCCTCTCCAATCTGAGGAACTAAATTTCAGCATCTGTTACAGGTATACATCTGATCAATATAGGGTTTTTAGCTAGTACGTTCAACAATATGCACTCTGAAAATACAAAAAAATACTCAGATTGAAGCTCTCAACAACAGGAGCAACAGCCATATTTTTTTGTATTTTTTGTAGTGACAAAGTATTCATCAAATCACTTACTTCCTGAAGGAAGAGTTTTAACTGCAAAAAGATCCTATAGTAGGCAATATTTATGATGTACTGTAAGGAGAAATGATAAGATCAAAAAATTACCACCCTTTGCATGATTGATGAATTTGAAGAAAAAAAACCTTGAGTTTTCAAGTAAAAAACCTTGAGTTTTGTCAAAAAGCTGCTGAGTTTTTCAAAAAGTCAGTGAGTTTTTTTTGGAAACCTGGCTCAGTAATTCTAAAAAGAAAGAGCTCGCTCAGCTTTTGAAAAAAAGTTGCAGGTTTTTCTTGAAAACTCAAGTGTTTTCTCTTTTTCCAAAGTCATCAATTCTGGAAAGGGCTGTACATGATCAGATTTGGGCATGAGTAGAACACTGTCACTAGGCAAGGTGTAAAAATGGGGTGCATGCTGAAAGACAAGATGAACCAAGTGGATGAGGATAATTCTCATTCTGTCCTCATCCAGTAGGAAGTTGTGGTATTTATACCCATTTTCACTCACCTGGTAACATTGTAGGAGTACATACATAACTTGATTGGACATGCACTGCCCACTCAGTTCCTGGAAAATTTGAACCATTTTATATGCTCACCAAACAGTCCCACCATTACCTGGCAGGTCTTTTACCTTTTTAATACCATTTTCATACTAATTCATTTGGAAAATTTATACTTGGCTTACTCTGCTACGCAACTCCAATCCTAACAAAGACACCCCAAATATCAAGCCTTATGTAATCCCCCACTTAATTAGTAAGTCATGTCAGAACAATACTTTTTTTGGTAAACAGGGTTCACAATTGGTAAGTAAGAATTTGAAGATTTTTTTCAAAAGATTGGTCAATGAGATCATCTTGTCCTCATGATATCCCTAAAATTTGTAAAAAAAAAGTATTATTCTCTATACTATTATTATAGTGGTATGAGTAGTTTGAAGCAGTGCTTGCACCACCATCCCCAATCAAGTTTCAGGCAGCTGTTGAAGCTCTATGTAATGAAATGATGATCAAGATGCACATGTTTGAATATTTGTCAGCCCTGAGCCCTGATTACACGACCACGGGCTAACAGTTACATATGTAATATTATATTATTGTATAAATCCATAAGTACATCTCACGGCTCAGTGTCAAGAGCCACATAAACACATGTACGTAATGTATTAAATACGTAGCAAACCTAACCCAAGCGCCAACCACAAGTGAGACAAGAATCACACGCCAACCACAAGTTGACGCTTGACCTGTGAATATATAAACCCCCCTTCTTCCCTTGATTCATCCCCCATCTTTTCACACACCACAACATCAGAATCACATTATACTTGAAATCCTATTGAGAGGATCTTTGAGTACGTGATTAGTTGTGTAGTCTAAAAGACCATCTTTGAGCATTACGGGTTCCATTGCTGAACACCCTTGGTATTGATTTCTACGAGCCCTGGGCCATAAACGTCTCTAGAAATAAACCATAAAGCAGTAAAGCTTCCTCCCTCACCAGGAGTCTAAAGTAGCCTCAGGATCTTTGGTTTACCAAAGTGTAAAGCCTGCCCCTCGCAGTCTCACGAGGTTTTAGCGTATTTACGCGTAATAGCCCTTTCCTTCCCCTTTATTCCCTTAAACCCTCTTCTCAGAGGTCAACTAACTGTAGTCTTCACTTGGGTGTACCAATTGAAGACCAGTTTTCCCTTTACCTACGCATTTCTCAGTGAAGAGTACGCCTAACAGACGCGTACCCCTCACAACTTGGGGGCCTCATCGGTGTTTTTGTTCCTCAATCATCCTAGAAGATAAGCAGTTTTCTCCATTCTCATCATTCAAATTTTTTTTTCTTCTCAATTATACAAAAATCAAATAAACAAAAAATTAGAATTCCTTTTCATACCGTTTTGATTAATATCGGTAGTGCGCATCACCTTTGAATTAGAGGATTTTTGATTTTATGCATTCAAGATCACAATTGACTCCTCTGTTTTTTTTGTTGAGATCACATTCTCTTTCAACAAAAAGAGGGGCCTCTTCTATTTACATTCTTTTCTTGACACCCCAATTTTTTTTTAGTTTAAAATAAAATTTTAAAATATCACTATTAGAAAATTTAATTGAAATAGTAATATCTGATCTTTTCAAGTTGGCTAAGGAAGCAAGTAAGTTGAAGTTAATACCCCCACGTAGTAGCCAACTGCATACATATAATTTTATATCACAATAAAAGAAGAGGTGTGTAATCTGAATCTATCACACTAAACATAGTGAAAGAATACGTGCAATTAATTACACGCAACAGTAAAGTACTTGTTGTGTGAATTATACATACAGAGGCTTTATTTTTGGAGATTCAGCTCTGATACTTAGGCATAAGAGCTTTATAGAATTGTCATACCAATTGACAGGTTCATTTGACCTGTCACATCTTTGTTAGTCTTATTTCGAACAGGTCCGGGTAGTTTACCTGCGTCGAGGTAAACCCTTTCTCCACTCAAGCATAACACAACCACCCCATCGGTTGATCAACCAATACGAAATCACCCTAGTACACCACTCACCAAACCACCGACCATTTTATCTTTTCATTCAAAACTTGGGAAAAGAAATTCAGAGACCAATTTGAGTAAGTCAACATTAAATTACTGTAGTTTTTCTTTTCTCATTATCCTTTTTTGAGAATCAAAAGACTAATAGCAAGTCCTGCTTGATACCAGTCTTTTGCTTGAAACTTACTTCGAAGGACTGCTTTAGCTATCAAGAACAATTTTTTTTATCAAGCTTATTG